TAACTTAATAAGTAGTTTTACTCATATTTCATGTAACAAAAAGACAAAAAGTCCTCACCGGGAAACAAGGGGCTATCTCACCGATGTAAAGGCCCTGGGGGTGTTCCTGACGGAGCTGGGCAGGCTGGAGTGACTCCGACGACAAACCCTTCTCACGCAAAACAGGTGGCATATTAACGTCGAGTTGAGGAAACGCCCGTAGCAAGAAGATTAAATTTATCCTTGTGTTCGACATGTGCGGTATCAATATCCTTGTAATTAACGCTGCGCTGTTAGGCTGCAGTTAGACGACGCGAAAAATTTCTTGCGGCCGCCGCGCGACGACCGCGCGGTGGCCGCGCAATAACTGTTCAGTCATACCAAATTTATATTTTATTCACTAAGACTTAACGCTGAAATTCTTTGTGAGTAACTAAATGCGCGGCGATCGCGCGGCCTCCTCGCTCAAATCACTCGAATGTTTTAACTCTTCTCGCCATGCTAAAATAGGATGAAACCAAAATCTTCTACTTTTGTTTTTTTCTTCTTTTTTGCTTTGTCGGTACAAGTAATATGCAATCATAATTTTCTTCTTCTTAGTCAAATAGCCCATTACGAATTCGTGTGAATTTTAAAAAAACACTAAGATCAACTGCAAATGTATCGAGTTAGCAGTGGCGGGGCCACCAGGCGGTGACCGCGCGGCCGCCACGCGTGACATTCTGTGTCATATAAACGCGCCCTCATGTTAAAAGTTGGCGGAGCCTAATGTTTTATCATTCTACAAATCTTGATGACCACCATCCCAACATTATAATTACTGACTTTTCCTTTCAGATCGTTATAATTCATGATTTTTCCCATTTCTCCAATAAAATATGCACCAACCACCCAAATTCATTCTCAATATTTTCTTTGTGTCATTCAGTCATGCTTTAAAAACTACTTCTTACATCATATCAACCAACGTGTTTTTAAAGGTTCAATCATATTTTAATTCAATTTAGGTAGATGTGTTCTTAAATCATTTGTGAGTTGAGAACAGGGCGGACTGGAATTTGTTCAATACTACATAATAGTATGGTCCAGACCAGATTAGGTAGTTACCGGTTATTATAATGAGTCATATGCGTTAACCGCAGTGGTGTTAATAACGTCACTATTTCATTTTCCAAATTACCCTGGTCAGTGATATTACTTGCATAGAATTTCCTGTTCGAATTTTCTATTATCTTTTTTACGCTATAAATGAACTAACAGGATACTACAACATTAAAGGTTCATCTTTATTTCCATATTTAATGCCTTCTATTGATTAATTATATATGACGTTTGTACGCCGGGTTTCATGGTGTCGCCGACTCGAGAGGTCCCGGGTTCGAATCCCGGTGGGGGCAGATGTTTGTGTGATGAATACGTGCATTTGTACTCTAGTCATGGATGTTTAATATGTTTTTCTATATAAATATACTTATATATGTACAGTATATGTATTCTATCCGCTACCCTAGTATCCCATAACACAAGCCTTATAGTGCTTACTTTGGGGCTAGGCTAATTGGTGTGAGTGTTGGAAATATGTATATTTATTTTATTTAATTAATTTATCTATTATTAACCACAAACAATTAGTTTTAATCAAATTATAAATTCAAAGTGTTTATTAATGTCCTGTATTTGTAATTCTGGTAATTTGTAAAAGAAAATAAATCATTAGAGCCATCCGGCATCGCCTCGACGCGTGACGTCCACTGGTCATGTATCTTCTCCCCTCCGACTTCTCCCACACAGGCCGCAAGCACCAACACTACACAGCTAGCATACTTGCACACTAGCTTAGCATCAGGCAGACACCGCACCCGTAGGAGACTCCCCCCGTGGGGAGATGCCATCCACCTGGAAAACCTCTAGAGGCACTAGCCAATTCTCGGCTTGAGGTCCCCTTAGGATCTCGCCGTCCCTAAACCCGGTGACGCTGTAAAGGTCATCTGCGACCAACAGCAGCAGGTCAAATAGGTACGCTGCGTTGCCAACCTCGGGTAACTAACGTCGGATAGGCCACGGGTGGGCGCCTGCGCCTCGTTGTCAAGAACCAGTGAACGTCAGCTGGTCGACTGTGAACGTCGCGGAGAACGTGCGAGTAACGGGTGGTCACGGTGTTGTCCGGTGACGGTACGGAGTTGATGCTGTAAGCGCAAACCTATAAATATCCGTACAAAGAATATCAACCAGACGAGTTGAGGATATGCTGGTCGGGTGCGGATGAGTCTAATGACCTTAATGTTGAATGAATGTCTCAGGCGCAAGTTCGTCGGCCACCCGTGTCGCTCGACTTGCGGCCGGCTGCCGAGGCGGCGAGTGCGGTGAGCTCGTGTGTTGAATACAATGTGCAGTCTTATTCCCACATCAACATACTAGCATGAGAGTTGAGTTTTATTACAATAAAAATGAGTTCATGATTTCAGAAATACAAGAAAAATACGGTGGTGAAATATCAGCATCCATTTTACTTGCCCTTATTTCTTTCTACCCGGATCTAAACCCGGCAGAAAACAGTCACGGGATCTAGCGAACTGAGGCCGCCGCTTACGGCGACCGCACTCAACGAGACATCAATTATTAGTTCATGCTGCCGATTTCTTAACAATGGTAAAAGATAGATAGATAAACATCACTTTGACGAGGGTTACTTAAATTCATTGCCGTCTCCGAGTGGGGCTGTGAAGCTTGAGAAGCTGTAGCATTTAAATCTACATTTTTAATCGAAAATACACCCCAAGTGATTATGTGCAAGTGGAGTTGCCAATGTGGCATCAATCAATGGTTCCATCTGTTCAAATTGCCAGACCTAACCAAATATCCCATAATCTTCAACAGTTTAACTTTATATACAATACAGACAATGTCATCAAAACATCAAGGTTATTTTATTGGTCTTCTGTAAATTGAGTTGGTGAAAAATAGAATAACAGAATGTATAAGGGCTTCTTTGTTGGTAATGCATATAAGAAAATTAATGAGCGAGAGCGCAACACACGCAGACGCGGATCGAGGGCGGATGCAGACAAAGAAATAATGCTTCATGTGTTACTAGCCACACAAAAATAACGTGGACAGGCCAATAGGCCTTGCGCACTAAACTTGCCTTTCCATATTACTTATTGTGTTTAAAATGAATGCTGGAAATTACACACCTAGGCCTATCATAGTAAAAAGTAAAAATTGCAGTACTTAACTACTTAACTATTTATTTATTTATTTAATAAAGGCTTACCAAGGGCGGATCCATCTTTGGCGCCAGGGGGGGGGTCATATAGCCAGCTTTGGCTCCAGGGGGGGTCATATAGTCGTGGTATATTAAATATTGAAAGTACTTAAATAAAATCTTATTTATTCAATCAGAGGGATTCCCCTGGGTTTGGTCCGTCTGTACCCAGCCCAGGGGGGGAGCACACCCCCATGACGCCCCCCCCCCCCCCCTGGATCCGCCCTTGAGGCTTACCAACTAAACACATACACTGCATTCACATGTTATGAATTACAAACATTAGTTATGTATATGTGTCTAAATTATAGGTATGCACAACATTCAAAACTATAAATTTAGTCATCAAATAACATACTTAAAACGTCTAGGAAATATGAATGATTTTGATAAACAGTATACTGCAAAACACCACTTACAAACTTTTTATGTAATGAAGATAAATGTATCTTTTTAAAGTAATTATTGTATTGGCAATGCCCTATTTAATGTTCACGCACTATTTATTATTTTTAAAGTTATTAAAATAATACATTCCTATTATATATTAATCCAACATTGCTTTATTAGTTATTGTTAAGATATATAAAATCAATAAATTTTGTTTTGGCCTTAATGTATAATGTTGTTGATTTTATAGTAATTCTTCATGGTTTCAGCACACTAGCTCTGTAGTATTCATGTTCATAAACCTGATTGCATACATTCATTGTTAAGATATCTTTTTTAGGAAAGGCTGCCTGCATCATTGTATGCAGTCCATTGTATGGAAATACGAGACAGCTGGTAACACAGCTCCGGTCTACAGTATGAGTTGCTCCACTGATTTGAAACTATAGCGATTAAGAAGTAGCAATATTGCACTTACAAAATCTATTAAATTATTACTTCAATAAAAACCTTTGGTCTTATTATTATTATACTTAACAGCATCAAAAACTTTATAGCTTGATAATGATTGTTACAATCAAGAAAAGTCATATTTAATTAATGGCAATTGCACAATGCCAATAATATTGTGAGCAAGTATTAATTAAAATAATAAAATTATTAATTTAGCAAAGTTTTAGTGTAGAAGACTTAAATTGTGATAATAGAGTATATATGTTGAATGTTTTCGTATTAAAATGTATTCACAGCATCATTCAGGTATTATTACAGAAATATTAGATATTGGTGTCAATTCTGGCACGATTCTCTAAATCTAAACTTAAATTTGACAACAGTGTATCCTTTTCATTCTCTTAAACAGAATGTAAAGGAGAGACTGATGTTAAATTTAGTTTTGAGTTTAGAGAATCACACAAGATTGACACCTTCAGCAAATAATTTGAAATTGTAATGTTCATTTTCTTCAATGTACCTATGTCTACAATGTTCTTTAAATTCATATCCATCTCAGCAAACTGGTTGGTCAAGAATGAAATAAATTTGGTTTAGAGTAGATCAGTCAAAGAGGCAAATAGTATAACAGATAAAGAAGTTAAACCAAATTATCACTAGAATGTAAAATGTGTTCAGCTTGTGGTCAATTGAGTTTCATTGTGAGATGACTTTAGTCAATAGTTTTGTGTAAACCATTTTTTTTAATATATCAAACGTCGCCTGCATAATATACAAAACAAAAATATTATTCTTGTTATTTATTATAGAAATAAAAAATAAGGAAATGATAACACTTTGACAGTGACCTCTGCTAATAAAAGTATTTAAGCAACATTGTGGTTGGATCTTTAGAAACTGAAGAGTGACTTACCTTCAGGGTATGCTTGTTTGTTGGCGATGAAGTCGATGACCAGGTGTGTGGAGTTGTAGAGGGAGCCCATGGCGCGCATGTCGAACTCCACGCTGGCCTTGTACGTGGTGTTGATGACGGGCTCGGAGTACGTCACGTTGGCCATCTCCATCACGCTCGATATCTCCGAGCGCAGGTCGCGCGTGATATCGCTCAGGAACGACTCCCCTGCGGCGCCACACCCGACCGCCGCTACGAGGACCAAAATCCTCCACATTTTGCACTCGCACTGGTCTTGAATCGCGACTTCTCACAGCAACACCCACATAACGCACTTCACCAAAATCAGCGAATGCTCCTCTGAGCAATATTGTAATACTCTCACTGACTATTTATAATTTGGACGAGGGTAAACTATTTGTTTGCAAAACAAACTTCGAGATACCCGTTCACCAAACATAAACACTTTGCAAAATGAGGTCGATATCGACTGCACAAAAGAAAATGTCGAACAGCGTGAACGGCCGTTTTACACAATTGCCAGGCTGTGCTTATACTAACTCCACTTAACATAAGTATTCAAGATTTATGTCAGGATTTTCATGTTTTGTCCAAAATCCTTTGTTACGAAAAACAACGGCCGCCCCGCGTACCACTGGGCACAGCGGAACAGTGAATGATAGATCGAAAACCTTGTGTCTGCTGTCATGTCAATGACCGAGCCGGCGGTCGAGCGAGACTAGAGTTTACTCATTCATTCGTTATCAACCAACCACAACATCAGTATTTTTTTTAATGTTGCCATAGCAAATCCAAATTTTAATCTCATTGCGTTTGAGCATCTCAAAATATTTATTTAATGTCATGATATTATTAGGTGTGTATGTCAGCGGAGATATTATTAGGTATTAACGTCAACTTCATTTCGCAGAAAATCATTTGGTTTCACTCATTTATCAGACATTCAATATCCACAATAAAAAGCAGAATAATCATAATCGCAGAAAATTCATATTCAGAAATAGTAAAAATCGTTTTCTGGCATACAAATATTAAACTAAATTTTTGATGTGTAACATCTTTCTTTTCGCTTTCCTGCAATTTATGGGAGTGATTTCGTGAAATGGGACGGAAGTGTGTAACAGGAAGTCGCGAAAGCGCGCCCTATTTGATTTGATTTTAGAACGTAATGTTTAAATAGCTTATTCCTTTTTTAGTAGGTTTTATTTCTTTTTTATTATTATAGGTGAGAAAGCCTCTCTGAGTTTGTTTCGCTGGTTCTTCTCAGAAAGGTCTCCCAATTTTGGAACCGGTGGTAGTTTACTGTAGTACAAAAAAAAGTACTTCATTAACTAAATACATATTTTAATATTCTTCCAATGAAATATCCGAACGCGCAATAATAATCTTTCGAAGGTAGCTCGACAAAGAAAATAAAAGAAAAATATTCTGACGATGCAGACCTGAAATGGCTGCGAAATGTCAATTAATAAATCAAGTTCCTGCATTAACCCATTAAAACTAATTTTATTTAATAAGGTGAGGTTTCAAAAGTTACACATCATACGCGACTACTGTAAGGCTCGCTCGTTTTTTTGCTACGAAGTTCCTTTTCGGACGGTCTTGGCAAAATAGTGCTAGGCGAAAAAAATGTGTAAGTTTTTTTTTAGTGTATTGAGTATAATTGTGTACTTATACTATTTGTTTCTTAGGTTTTCACGCACATAACTCATTAAATAAAACTAGTTTTTCACGGGTTTTATTTAAATAAAAAAATGATTCCGACGAAGCAGCCTGTAAAGGCTGCAAAACGTCAATAAATAAATCAAGTTTCGTGCATTAACCCGTGAAAAACTAGTTTTTTTTTACTTATACTATGATTAATTTTAACTCCATTTCTACCGAGTGTTCAATTACACTCACGTTTTCTTTTTATTTATGTATTTTCTATCAGGTGGTTAACACCTAAACAGACTACTAAAACATGAAAAATCTTACAAATCATTATTCTGGCGTAATTTTGATACCTCTAATAAGATATTACACTTGATAATGGCGCTGTTGGCGTTCCTCGATGTTCAATGCACCGTTTGTAGTAGTTTTACTAGATTTGTTAAAGCAAAACCTCGAATGAAATCTTACGGTATTGTACAGCGAAAACCCAGTAAATCGAAATTACTAGATAATACAAAATGAACTTGTTGCACAACTACGTATTTTTGCTTCGTGGTCTAATTATAAAAAACTGACTAATAACGAATTGAAGATACACAACGAATGAAATTTGAGAGCGTCTCAATAAGTTTTCATATTTCATAAATGGTTTGATCCTTTGCTTTAAATGACAAGTAAGTGCTAAGGTGCTTCTGATAATCATTAAATCGGTCCCTAAGGTGTCCACATTTTCTCAACTATCCCAATAAAAGTAGAAATCTGGCAATATTTTCGAATGAATGAACGAATTAAGTAAGCCATTCGTGTTTTGTGCAGAGCTGGAGCAGGTATCGTTTCATTTATATGCATTAGTTTCCATAAGTTTCGTAAGATGGCGCTATGTTTAGTCTAGAAAATGAAACTTTGTCCAAAAAAAAAGCGAGCGACACGAATGAAGTGAAACTTCTTTAGCTGTAATGATCTAAAAATCATAAACTTAACCTGAAGATTTGTTGATAGAAAAAGAACCACCAATCCGCGCTGGGTTCGTTATCACCCACCAATCCGCACTGGGTCCGTTATCACCCACCAGTCCGCACTGGAACCGTTGTCACCCATCAATTCGCATTGGGTCTGTTAACACCCACCCTTCCGCACTGGGTCCGTTATCACCCACCAATCCGCACTGGGTCCGTTATCACCCACCAATCCACACTGGGTCTATTTTCACCCACCAATCCGCGCAGGGTCCGTTATCACCCACCAGTCCGCTCTGGGACCGTTGTCACCCATCAATTCGCATTGGGTCTGTTAACACCCACCCTTCCGCGCTGGGTCCGTTATCACCCACCAATCCGCACTGGGTCCTTTATCACCCACCAATCCACACTGGGTCCATTGTCACCCACCAATCCGCGCTGGGTCCGTTATCACCCACCAAGCACTAGATTCATGTATTTTGTGACGGGTATTGTTCATTGTTTACCGATGAGTCACCGCACCGGTGCGCGCGTAACGCAAAAATCGTAACACATTCGCCAGTTTACCCCCCAAGTAAAACGTTTCAGAAGTTTCACTTCAATAAGAAAATCTATCGACCTAGGTAGGCAAGGCTGATGATAGCCCTAGTGTTTCCGCTCGAGGGCAAGTCTCAAGGGCTACACCGTACAGTAACTTTAATGGCTATACAGGGTAGGGAATTGTGTTCATGCCAACGGCATACTTTTTTTTGTGATTGGATTCCTCTCCAACAATATTTATCGTTGTTCCTCTCACACAAACTCGGTTAATACCAAGCTGGAAAAACTATCTGCACTTTGTTTAAGATAATATTTGGGATAGCCAAATATTATCTTAAACAAATCTTTTTTTATTTATATATGTGACTAGCAAACCCGGCGAACTCCGTTTCGCCACCAGATGGCTTCGTTTTATGTAACGTTTTATGTAAAAAGAAGTTTTTTTTTTTAATTTTTCCTGAATTTTCTTTGCTATAAACCTCACGGAGCCCGAGACCTTTCCAACGAATGCAAAACCGTGGAAATCGGTTCGTTCGTTCTGGAGTTATAGCGTCAGGAAGGAAAACCCGACTTATTTTTATATAGTAGATTGGTATTATAGGTGATTGATAATTTATTATTTATACGAAGATAATACATTAAAATAACACAAACTTAAAAACTATATAGCTTAACCTACTTACCTACATAAATAAATATTTACAAAATAAAAAATATATCACCCCCAGCGCCGCCATCAGGAATGGTGCCCAACAGGCTGGCAGCATTGCCGCGTTGGATGGCAAGGCTGATCCGTTGACCAAGATAGCCGCCAGCCTTTTGATCACCAGTCACTTCGGTGAGCCTCTTTTTCAACTTAATTCCTTAAAAATGGAACGAGCGCTTGGACCCCATGGTCCCATTGTCTCAACACCAAACGGCACAAATATATAGTTCTCATTGAGAGCTGAATATTTGCGCCGCTTGGAGCACTCGGCAGAAGCCGCATCCGCGCCTACAGCTAGGGAGGTTCTACCTACAAGCGTATCAACGCAGGTTGCGTCCCATACAAGAAGACGACCCTGCTTCCAAGGATTCCAATGAGCGTCATCCCATCAAGTCTCTTGCCGTCGTCGCGGAAGATGCCATTAAGCTCAAAGACCGCTGGTACGTTGGCCACGACGAGAGCCTTGCGGATTAAGTCATTGATGCAGGCGTGGCAGGAGACTCGGCTAGCGCTCATTTGGCATGAGCGGCCATGGTGTCCCAGCTCACCGACGCGAGTACCACAACGACAGCGATCGGGATGATTAGTCTTGACGCCAAGTCTATCTTGTCAAGCAAAGTCGCGATATTGGCTGAAGGTAAAGCTTGCAGCCAGTAACCAGACTCTGCCTGAAATACCGCTAGAAGGCGAGCACGTTCAGTGGCGTTTTCAGAGGATGCTAAAAGATCACTCTGAATACGCAAACAGAGCGGCTAGTCCCACTGCTATACCATGCGCTTCTGGCCTCTGCAAGATGAGCCAACTCCACGATTTGCCCAAAGATGGGCATAATATTTTATAAAAGAGTTCGGCTGTACCGAAGTATGTATAGGTTAAATTTAAAAACATTTGTATATAAATTATATATTTACAAATATTAATTATTTACAAATCTTTCCAACATTTTATTAAACCTGGATAAAAGTAAGAATCTGATAAATATTATAGTGATCGCATAATTTATAGCATTAGAGATTTTTTCGCAATTCCATTTAAAAATGAAGTTTCAATGTGACACAAGAAAAGTAAGAAAAGTACACCAGTGGACTTTATCCCACTATAACCAACGATATTTAAGTTATTATATTATTTAAATTTAAGTAATAAAAACTGCTCGATTTATCAGGATGAAGAAAGTTTTCCTAGAAAAAAATCTACTCGGTCCAGGTGTCAGGCAAAGTTTTCATTTCGAATATCACGATTTGTAGTAAAGTTTTGTTTTGTTTGCGAAGGAGTTACGTTGATGGTCACGCGGGGTTTGGGTCTGGCTTCTCCGTGTCCAGTAGCGGGGCTGTCTCAGGGGCGGGGGCAGGTGTAGAGGCGGGTTTTATGGCGTAGTTCAGGGCTTGCTCAGGGGTGGTGGTGTGTAGCATTTCCGAGGGTAGTTGTAGGGGCGCGAGGTTTCTCTGCAGGTGCGCCGCGTTGAAGGCCACCAGAGCACCGCCTTCAGTCTTCAGATCGTCAGATACGCGTTGCAATATCTGTGTGATGTGACATATTATATGAATTAGAATAATTATTGTTTGTCCGTTTAGTATAAGATATTAAAGAATTAAATTTATTATTAATTACTAGCAAACCAGTGAACAAAATGTTCACCAAAACCTGATTTAAAAAAAATGTATTTAATTAATTGAGAACTTCGGAGATTTTGTGTGGTTTCGTTTGAAATTCGTGATTTCTCGAAAACCGGAAGTGCTACGTTACTCAAATCCGGTTTGTAGTCTTATCAGACTATTCTTAACTTATAACTTAAATATTCTCTTTATCTATCTCTTACGGTTTGGCCGCTGAAACAGCACCACAGACGGACGGACGAACTTGTCTAATAGATAAGAGATTATATTTATAAATCTCAAGGATATTTTATTAGGAAAATTCCAGACGGTCCAGCCATTCAGACGGAATTCGAACTTGCACCATTCGCTATTCAGGGGAATTATTGTACTGCTCTGTTGCGCATTAAACTCAATTAAAAAAATCTAAAAAAAGTTTTTAGTAGACCCACAACATAGGTTCGCGTGGATTTTTTTCTAGAAAATTTTTCTTTAGATTTAAACATTTAGCAGTTAAATGCTTAAAAATAAATAAAAACATAACTATAATTGCTAATTCTTCTTTCAAATGTTTAATACTTGAAAAAGTATTCATTTGACATTGTAGGTTACCTGCAATGCGAAGAGATGGCGCTGCCTTGCAGCTTAAGGCTGGGAAAATTTCGACGCGGCTAATAGGGCCGTGGTAGCATAATGGTCAGTGCATTCACCCAGATTGCGAAGGGTGCGGGTTCGAGACCCGTCCGCTGCCTGGACCGCGTGGTTTTTTTTCTAGTAAACTTTTGTTTAGTAAATGTTTACCTGTACAGCGGGGTGGTCGAGTAGCGCGAGCGTGCTGCAGTCCAGCACCAGCACGCGGCTGCAGTGCGCGCGGAGCGAGCGGCGCGCGGCGGTGACGCAGCGGTCCGCGTTGAAGAACACGAGCGCCTTCTCCGGCCGCCATACTACGGCCGATACCCCGCCCTGCTGTTGAGTTAAATTAATAAATATTTCCAACACTCACACCAATTAGCCTAGCCCCAAAGTAACCACTGTAGGCTTGTGTTATGAGATGCTAGGGTAACGGATAGAATACATATATTGATACATATATAAGTATATTTATATAGAAATACATATTAAACATCCATGACTGGAGTACAAATGCTCGTATTCATCACACAAACATCTGCCCCCACCGGGATTCGAACCCGGGACCTCTCGAGATGGCCACACCTTGAAACCCGGCGTATAAACCACTCGGCCACGGAGGTCGTCAAAGTTCAGAGGTTAAAGCTCTGTTTGACTCAATGAACCGATATTTTGGTCAAAGTAAAATAAATAACTCGTTTTTATCAGCATTATCATCAGCCTATTAATATCCCCACTGCTGGGGCACAGGCTGTCCCTATGGATGGAATAGGAAGACGGGCCGAGACCCACCGCGCTTGCCCAGTATGGATTGGTGGGTACTAACGACTGCAGATGCAGCCGGGTTCGATGGCTTCCGAAGCGCGAAGGAGTGAGAAATTATAAATTATAACAATTGATCACCCATCAAACGACTGTCCAACGCGAAAGTTGCTTAACTGTAACGATCACAGGCCCATTGCGCTAATCACCTGCGCCATCGAGCTCCTTCCGGATTTATAATACCATTAATAACAGCATAATTTTAATTTTTATATAGGTAAAAAGAATTTTGAATTTGAAAGGACATTGCTCGTTCCCCATACATTGAATGCCCTAGAACGCCCAGCAATGAGAAAATGCTAGTTGTGTTCGGAATCATTCATAAACTCTAATTAGGCATTTGTTGAGATACGGACAACTTGAGGAACCGTGGCCTACTACAGAATGTATTTGATTTTGAGGTTATAATTATTATACTTAATCGTAAAAGATGTACACTTTATATATTCTGAATAGATTTAGTGTTTACCTCTATGTAAGCACTTAAATAATATGCATTAAATGAACATAAAATGCAATTAATAATAAAAATAATAAATGCTTATATTCATATTGATTAATGAGTGTTATCAGTTGGCACCTACGATACCTATACCTTACCTGTAGTAATAATAGATTTCTTTTCAAATGAAATGTTCAGTCTTTCCATTTACCTGTTTCTATATTTTACTATCGGTAATTAGGTATGTACCTGATTATCATTATGATTTTCATAAAAATAAACAGATATTACATGGGATGGGAGTATAAACTATCTTTACATAATTTCAGAAAAAATCTTTTTATAAATATAATACTACAGTCCATCAAATCTAACAAGTACCGTTTGACGTTTCATGTTTTTCAAACAGATATAACTTTGTTTAAGCGTAACTTATTCAAATTTGATAACCTTTTTCGTAAAACCATGAATTTATAAAAGTTTTATTATTGGACCTAAAAATGTACAATTCTTAATATCTAAATTTAATTGAAAACTTTCAAACAAAGCAAAATAAACAATATTTACACAATAAATAAGTTCTAATAGTTCTATTCTTGACCTCATTGCAAAGTCACATAGTTAGGTCACTGCTCGTAGTGTTGCAACTCTTCGGAATCAATTGTGTACGAAAAAATCGTGTACATTATTCGGAAAATCGAATTTATTACTTTCAAATTATCAATTAACGCATTTGTAAAAATACATGACAGATGACAAAATGATCAAATTTGATGCCTCGGTCCATAATCTACTCAGATTACGATGTTGTAAGCGCTAGAAGCGCTTATGGCCAATGTCAGACCACGGCCAGAAAGCGAATTTTCGACGTAATGTTTAGGGGTACAGCGCAATTTAATTTTTGTATAATTTCACGTTACTGCTCGATCGCATAATGCATTTAATACATAGGTACCCTAAAATAAATTAATTTAATTATTTTCAAATAAATCTATATAGGCGAAATAGCTCCAGAAAAAAGATTTTTTTATCAGACAACACTGCCGACCACAAGCGCACGCGGTCCCCCTCACCCGCGTCAGCAGTCTCTTGCCATCTTGGAAGCTGACTGTGCGCGTACCTACTTTCTCGTTTGTGTTTTACAATTTGTGACTTGGCTATTACTTTTCTGGACTCTGAACTAAGCAAGTGTTTATTAATAATGTCCAAAAGAGGACGTACTTTGAACAGCCAGGCTCGTGAATTGGTGGTGAAATTACACCAGTATTTTGAGCGTGAATGTCAAAATGGTGGAGCTCTACTGCCAGTTACACAAGTTCGGGGGAAGCACCGTCGGCAAAATATTAAGTGAAAAATATGGGCCTTCGGGGAGTGACAGTAACGTACTTCACACGCCGAAAAAAAGGAAAAGAACTAAACCTGTGACAGGTATCGATGACTTCGATAGCCATGCTATTAGAAACCATATCTATGGTTATTTTACAAGAGACGAATTTCCAACATTGGCAAAGTTATGTGCAACTTTAGAAGATGCCGGGCTGTACAAGGGAAGCATAGAGTCGTTGAGAACGATAATAACCGGAATTGGCTTCAGATACAAAAAAGTTGACAAACGAAAAATTGTTATGGAGCGACATGACATAATTATGCAGCGACTAACATTCCAGCGCGAAGTAAAACAAATTATAAACTGGGATAATGTAATATTTTTGGACGAAACATGGCTAAATTCCAACCACTCTGTGCCGAAAACATGGACAGATGATTCTGAAGCTTCGTGCTCGAAAGTGCCGATAGGGAAAAGTCATTATATGCCATGCTGGATCAGCGTCTGCAGGTTTCGTGGAAAATTCATTATTAGCTTTCCAATCTAAAAGCACAAAAGAGTATCATGAAGAAATGGACGCGGAAAGGTTCCAAGAGTGGTTCTTAAATTTACTAACGAATATCCATCCTAACAGCACAATTATAATGGATAATGCCCCATACCACTCTGTGCAAATTGATAAAGCACCAACATCAGCCAATAAGAAAGCAGATTTGGTGGCGTGGCTGCAAAGAAAAGGAGTGGAAGCCGACATGTCACTATTAAAAGTTGAATTGTTACATTTAGTGAAATTGGATAAACCACCAAGACCGACTTATGCTATTGACCAATTAGCCGAAGAACACGGGCACAAAGTCATACGACTTCCTCCGTACCATTGCCAATATAATGCCATTGAACTGATTTGGGCCCAAGTTAAAGGTAATACTTTATAATATAATAATATTTTTTAGTAGTTGATTATATTAATAACAAGAACTTGTTCTTAATAAGCTGAAATATATTGTGAATTGAGATTTTCCGTTAAGTACAGTAATACTATAAAACATTACCCTTCTTCTTCGCAGTTGTGTTAAATTGTACATAACCTAACAAAATATAGCAAGATTAGCTTAACACATTTTGTAGCCACATAACACGAGTGCCTCTAGCTTTTATAATTTAAAAAATAGTCTAAGTCTCCCACCTAATAATTATATAATTGTTTTACAGGTTATGCAGCAAGACACAACACAACACCACCCTTCAGTGTCAAGAAAATGGAAGGCTTATTAAAGGAAGCATGTGCGCAAGTTACACAAGAAGATTGGTCAAAAGTAGTAGAAAAAACAAAGAAAATAATAATGGACGACTTCAACAGAGACGTAAAATTCGATGGTTTCATGGATAATCAACTAGTCATTAATTTAAATGACGATGATGACGAGGACGACAATGATTCCAGTACTTGTAGTGAATAAAAAAATATACTGAACATTACTTTTATTTAAATGCTTCGACTTCGACCTTTAGAACCTTAAGATTTTTTCGGTATTCTATCCTCAGATTACTAGTAAAACCTAAATTTACCAATAAACAACCTTTTACAATAACATATTAAAAAAATATAGGAAAAGAGTACAGGGAAATAATATCTTAAATTTCGGATATTATGGTCATTGATCTCTTAAAATTCGGATATTATAGTAATCGATCTCTTAAAATTCAGATATCATAGTAATCGATTTTTTAAAACCCATCCCTATTATTCAATTTGTCAGAACTGTCAAACGGTACTTCTTAGATTTGATGGACTGTAGTAATAAGTATTATTAACTAAGGTTTCTCTATTTTTCTTTTAATAAATACCTATGGTCGCCTCTAATGCATTTATTAAAGTAAACAATCTTGGCACAACTTTTTAACAGAATCACCCATTTAATAATAAAATATTAACGAAGCCAATAAACTATAAAATAAATCGTTATTATAAACTGAAACCTTTTGAATCCAGTTATCAGTTGATTTTTAATGCTGTTTTTTCAATAAAAAGGAGTGCCAAGTTGGATGAATAGACTGTAGTATCTAGTAACAGAACTTTATTTTTTTATTTTTTTAAACAGATTGTCCGTTTTCTATGATTAATTGCTAATATGTTAAAAAAATAATAGAAAGATAATAGTGAAGGACATTCTTTTGGGCATGCTAGGGCCGATTTCGTCGATGTCCTTTTGATTGATGTAAGTACTTGAACAAGTATGGCTATTGCATCATTCGCCATCATGCCCAGCGAAATAAAACTGGCTCTGAATACATTGGACGTGTCAAAGGGCCCAAGATCGGATGGGGCATCCCCAGTGTGTTTTTCATATTATTTAACAAAAGTTTTAGCACTGTGTATTGTTGTGTTTTTTTAACCTCTTGGGCAAGGTGATTATCCTTTTCCGGATTCCCCCATCAATGTGGTACCATGGTCAGTGGTCAGCGCCAGGGCAGCTGCATCGGTGTGGTACCTGTATGCAGCGGTGATGCTGCGGCGCGGCATGCAGCTGCAGCAGCAGCAGCACCAGGGCGGCTGCATCGGTGCGGTACCTGTATGAAGCGGTGATGCTGCGGCGCGGCATGCAGCTGCAGCAGCAGCAGCACCAGGGCGGTTGCATCGGTGCGGCACCTGTATGCAGCGGTGATGCTGCGGCGCGGCATGCAGCTGCAGCAGCAGCAGCACCAGGGCGGCTGCATCGGTGCGGTACCTGTATGCAGCGGTGATGCTGCGGCGCGGCATGCAGCTGCAGCAGCAGCAGCACCAGGGCGGCTGCATCGGTGCGGTACCTGTATGCAGCGGTGATGCTGCGGCGCGGCATGCAGCTGCAGCAGCAGCAGCACCAGGGCGGTTGCATCGGTGCGGCACCTGTATGCAGCGGTGATGCTGCGGCGCGGCATGCAGCTGCAGCAGCAGCAGCACCAGGGTGGCTGCATCGGTGCGGTACCTGTATGAAGCGGTGATGCTGCGGCGCGGCATGCAGCTGCAGCAGCAGCAGCACCAGGGCGGTTGCATCGGTGCGGCACCTGTATGCAGCGGTGATGCTGCGGCGCGGCATGCAGCTGCAGCAGCAGCAGCACCAGGGCGGCTGCATCGGTGCGGTACCTGTATGCAGCGGTGATGCTGCGGCGCGGCATGCAGCTGCAGCAGCAGCAGCACCAGGGCGGCTGCATCGGTGCGGTACCTGTATGCAGCGGTGATGCTGCGGCGCGGCATGCAGCTGCAGCAGCAGCAGCACCAGGGCGGCTGCATCGGTTCGGTACCTGTATGCAGCGGTGATGCTGCGGCGCGGCATGCAGCTGCAGCAGCAGCAGCACCAGGGCGGCTGCATCGGTGCGGTACCTGTATGCAGCGGTGATGCTGCGGCGCGGCATGCAGCTGCAGCAGCAGCAGCACCAGGGCGGCTGCATCGGTGCGGTACCTGTATGCAGCGGTGATGCTGCGGCGCGGCATGCAGCTGCAGCAGCAGCAGCACCAGGGCGGCTGCATCGGTGCGGTACCTGTATGCAGCGGTGATGCTGCGGCGCGGCATGCAGCTGCAGCAGCAGCAGCACCAGGGCGGCTGCATCGGTTCGGTACCTGTATGCAGCGGTGATGCTGCGGCGCGGCATGCAGCTGCAGCAGCAGCAGCACCAGGGCGGCTGCATCGGTGCGGTACCTGTATGCAGCGGTGATGCTGCGGCGCGGCATGCAGCTGCAGCAGCAGCAGCACCAGGGCGGCTGCATCGGTGCGGTACCTGTATGCAGCGGTGATGCTGCGGCGCGGCATGCAGCTGCAGCAGCAGCAGCACCAGGGCGGCTGCATCGGTGCGGTACCTGTATGCAGCGGTGATGCTGCGGCGCGGCATGCAGCTGCAGCAGCAGCAGCACCAGGGCGGCTGCATCGGTGCGGTACCTGTATGCAGCGGTGATGCTGCGGCGCGGCATGCAGCTGCAGCAGCAGCAGCACCAGGGCGGCTGCATCGGTGCGGTACCTGTATGCAGCGGTGATGCTGCGGCGCGGCATGCAGCTGCAGCAGCAGCAGCACCAGGGCGGCTGCATCGGTGCGGTACCTGTATGCAGCGGTGATGCTGCGGCGCGGCATGCAGCTGCAGCAGCAGCAGCACCAGGGCGGCTGCATCGGTGCGGTACCTGTATGCAGCGGTGATGCTGCGGCGCGGCATGCAGCTGCAGCAGCAGCAGCACCAGGGCGGCTGCATCGGTGCGGTACCTGTATGCAGCGGTGATGCTGCGGCGCGGCATGCAGCTGCAGCAGCAGCAGCACCAGGGCGGCTGCATCGGTGCGGTACCTGTATGCAGCGGTGATGCTGCGGCGCGGCATGCAGCTGCAGCAGCAGCAGCACCAGGGCGGCTGCATCGGTGCGGTACCTGTATGCAGCGGTGATGCTGCGGCGCGGCATGCAGCTGCAGCAGCAGCAGCACCAGGGCGGCTGCATCGGTGCGGTACCTGTATGCAGCGGTGATGCTGCGGCGCGGCATGCAGCTGCAGCAGCAGCAGCACCAGGGCGGCTGCATCGGTGCGGTACCTGTATGCAGCGGTGATGCTGCGGCGCGGCATGCAGCTGCAGCAGCAGCAGCACCAGGGCGGCTGCATCGGTGCGGTACCTGTATGCAGCGGTGATGCTGCGGCGCGGCATGCAGCTGCAGCAGCAGCAGCACCAGGGCGGCTGCATCGGTGCGGTACCTGTATGCAGCGGTGATGCTGCGGCGCGGCATGCAGCTGCAGCAGCAGCAGCACCAGGGCGGCTGCATCGGTGCGGTACCTGTATGCAGCGGTGATGCTGCGGCGCGGCATGCAGCTGCAGCAGCAGCAGCACCAGGGCGGCTGCAGCACCGAACAGCACGCCCGCCTCCACCGACCACACCACCGACGCCACGAACGTGGTGCCCACCACCACCAGCTCACGACGATCCCATCGCCACAGACGCACCACGGTCTCGTAGTCGATCTATACGAACGCAACACTGGTATATATCATCATCATCAACTTATTAAAGTCCCCGCAGCCGGGACACAGGCCTTCCCCATTGGATGGAATAGGGAGACTGGGCCATGATGCATCACGTGGGCTCAGTGCGGATCGGTGGGTGCTAACGACTACAAATGCAGAAGGAACCAACGGCTTGACGTGCCTTCCGAAGCACAAATTAACTCGGGATAGTTTTGGTCAGCCATCCAATGACCGACCACTGTAATTTTAATTTTATGTAGTAATTTTTAGCTTAAGATTACTGAATTTATCCTAACTTTCATATTAAGTAGTTTATGATGATATACCATAAATATCACGGCGCATATGAGCACGGAGGAGAGGCACGCTTTGGGGATGTAGCAGAAGTACTCCGTGAGGAACGCCAGCGCTAGGATCGTTATTGCTCCTGGAATGCAACATAATATTATACTTCATATGTGAATAATCGTTGGCGTAGCTAGAAATTTTTCCTAATGCGTCAGCCGTTCACGTTAACTTATGGATTTTTTGACATATGATTTTTAATACCCCCAGTGTACCACACCTAGCTAAGCCCGTGCGAATAATATTTCACACATTAAATAAAATAATTACCGTATTATAAAGCTTAAAAATAAATGAATTTAGCATTGACGAAATCGTACGGTTGTGGATAGCCACGCAACAAAATGATGGCGATGACATTTTTATTGTGATATACTTGACGACCTCCGTGGCCGAGTGGTTTATACGCCGGGTTTCATGGCGTCACCGACTCGAGAGGTCCCGGGTTCGAATCCCGGTGGGGGCAGATGTTTGTGTGATGAATACGAGCATTTGTACTCCAGTCATGGATGTTAAATATGTATTTCATATAAATATACTTATATATGTACAATATATGTATTCTATCCGTTACCCTGGTATCCCATAACACAAGCATTTACAGTGCTTACTTTGGGACTAGGCTAATTGGTGTGAGTGTTGGAAATATTTATTATTTATTATTATTTATTATTTATTATACTATAATGAAAAGCAGCAGCTGGGATCAATCCGGACATTTCCTCTGAACACTCCCCATGATCAATGCTATAGAAGAATGTGGAACGAAGCTACATCTCTACACAAAGCCTAAGGATCAAGCCAAAGGATTAAGCTTTCGGAAAGGTTTTGGTCGACGACAATTCGAGCCGTTCGGAGATCGGTTCAGATAGATGCGATCCAGAGTGAGAAGCTGGTACTGGGGTGCCCCCGCCCGAAGATGAGATCAGTACTCCATAAAGTTGTAAAAGTCCGATCAAGTCCATCAACTATGGCAAATATGCAGAAGCAACAGCAATTTGGAGATCGAGCATACACTGTCAACTACGGTCTTGATGCTCTTATCTGGTTTAAAGTTTATAACCCAAATGCAAAGTTTTTCGGAAAGCTTTTAAGAAGGAAGCTTCGAAAGAAGCGCTTTGTGCCAGACCCGATCAAAGGTCTTTGAAGTATCCAGACTGACTGTTAATACTTCCGTCTTGGTGTTGATCGTTTTTGTCCAATAATACGTCAAGTGTACCAGAAGATCTCCAGCGGAACGCCTTCTATGGATGTCGTACTGGTGGTCGCTGATCTGCTGACTGATCTGACTGATCAGCTGGTGGTCCTTTGGATTATCCTTATACGCACCGGTGTGGAGCGCGGCGGCGGGCGTGCGCGCTCCGGACGCGTGCGCGAGCGCGGCGCGCGTGAAGGCGCCGCACGCCGGCATGGCGCCCGCCAGCGACCCCGCCATGTTGCCGCGCCGCGCGCGTGCTGCGTGCTGCGTGCTGCGTGCTGCGTGCTGCGTGCTGCGGCCGGGTATACGCACCGGTGTGGAGCGCGGCGGCGGGCGTGCGCGCTCCGGACGCGTGCGCGAGCGCGGCGCGCGTGAAGGCGCCGCACGCCGGCATGGCGCCCGCCAGCGACCCCGCCATGTTGCCGCGCCGCGCGCGTGCTGCGTGCTGCGTGCTGCGTGCTGCGTGCTGCGTGCTGCGTGCTGCGTGCTGCGTGCTGCGGCCGGGTATACGCACCGGTGTGGAGCGCGGCGGCGGGCGTGCGCGCTCCGGACGCGTGCGCGAGCGCGGCGCGCGTGAAGGCGCCGCACGCCGGCATGGCGCCCGCCAGCGCCCCCGCCATGTTGCCGCGCCGCGCGCGTGCTGCGTGCTGCGTGCTGCGTGCTGCGTGCTGCGTGCTGCGTGCTGCGGCCGGGTATACGCACCGGTGTGGAGCGCGGCGGCGGGCGTGCGCGCTCCGGACGCGTGCGCGAGCGCGGCGCGCGTGAAGGCGCCGCACGCCGGCATGGCGCCCGCCAGCGACCCCGCCATGTTGCCGCGCCGCGCGCGTGCTGCGTGCTGCGTGCTGCGTGCTGCGGCCGGGTATACGCACCGGTGTGGAGCGCGGCGGCGGGCGTGCGCGCTCCGGACGCGTGCGCGAGCGCGGCGCGCGTGAAGGCGCCGCACGCCGGCATGGCGCCCGCCAGCGACCCCGCCATGTTGCCGCGCCGCGCGCGTGCTGCGTGCTGCGTGCTGCGTGCTGCGGCCGGGTATACGCACCGGTGTGGAGCGCGGCGGCGGGCGTGCGCGCTCCGGACGCGTGCGCGAGCGCGGCGCGCGTGAAGGCGCCGCACGCCGGCATGGCGCCCGCCAGCGACCCCGCCATGTTGCCGCGCCGCGCGCGTGCTGCGTGCTGCGTGCTGCGTGCTGCGGCCGGGTATACGCACCGGTGTGGAGCGCGGCGGCGGGCGTGCGCGCTCCGGACGCGTGCGCGAGCGCGGCGCGCGTGAAGGCGCCGCACGCCGGCATGGCGCCCGCCAGCGACCCCGCCATGTTGCACACGCCCAGCGTCACCATCTCCTGCGACGCGTCCACGCGACCGCCCACCGCTGTGGACGACAAATCACTATACTACACTGACATCCCCCGATGGAGTCCCGCAAAAAAAAATCTGAGAGGTTTACCTCTCAGAATTTTATTCAATATAATCTGATCAGTAAATTCGAAATAATCCAGTTTATCCTTACATGAGATTTCATTTTCATGAGAGTTCATATCTTTTCCCTAGTTTTCGCAGTTTCATGAGAGTTCATATCTTTTCCCTAATTTCTTGTTAGAAAAGACAAAAACTTTTTTTTCAATCCTGCTTTTATGACACTCATATTGAGGGTTACAAAAAGCAGAACAATATTCCAGGGAACTGCACACCAAAGCAAAATATAGCATTTCACGAAATCACTCCCACAAATTACAGGAAAACGAGAGGAAAGATGTTGGCACCGAGCTCAGGATCGAACCACCGATCATGTTCATAGTCTAGAATATTTCTTATTACTCTCGTTTTCCTGTAATTTGTGGGAGTGATTTCGTGAAATGGGACGGAAGTGTGTAACAGGAAGTCGCGAAAGCTCGCGCTATTTGATTTAATTTTAGAACATAAGGTTCAAATGACTTATTCCTTTTGTAGTAAGTTTTATTTCTTTTTTGACTAATATAAGGTGAGGTTTCAAATGTTACACATCATACGCGACTACTGTAAGGGTCGCTCGTTTTTCTTCTTTTTTACGCTATTATTTACTTTTCGAATCAATTTAAGTATCCCAGTATTTTACAAAACCTGAATAGTTGAGTATTAAACGTTTGTTTATTAATACAGGCTTGGTTTTTATTTTCAATACTTTATTTTTCCTTTACAATGTTTGTAATTTTTTATAGTAATTTTTAAAGATAAGAAAAGCTAAGAAAAACATTACAAAAGAAATAAAATAAAAATAGCTGGTAACAAATAAAGCCGCGGGCGGCTGAAGGACTTCCCTACGTGTTCCCATTTTTGTAGGTTTTTGATTGTAACGCGGTTAAAACTATGATCTTTTCACATCACTGACACGGGTAAATCTTGAGGAACATGTCGATATATCACACTTTAAGATTAAATGAGAAAAGAGTGTTTTCTAAAAAATTGGGGTCATTTCAGTTGAAACGTACACGACGTCATCATTTTTCGCGGAGCGCGTAATTCAAAGTCATGTAAAAAGATCTTAAGTTCAGAGAGCACTGCATTTTTATTCACAACGCCATCTACATATTTTGCCTAAACTTAAGAGACCACTAGCAGCGATAAGGATGCTTTCCAAAGAGTGCTAATGAGTAAAAAACAGAGGACACTCAAGTGTTCTCGGACGTTTGACTGGAAAAACTTTAATGAGACCGTATGCATGCACCAGCGAGGGCTCGAGCTGCCGCAGCATGCCGCCCAGGTGCCGGAGCTGTGCCTGCTGTATAGAGAGTGTACTGACTGAACACCTTGGCGATTGCGACGTTGGCCACCACCATGACGGCGGGCAGCAGCGCCAGCGAGGGCCCGAGCTGCCGCAACATGCCGCAAAGAGACCGGGGCTGTGCCTGCTGTATAGAGATAGTACTGACTGAATGCCTTGGCGATGGCGACGTTGGCCACCACCATGACGGCGGGCAGCAGCACCAGCGAGGGCCCGAGCTGCTGCAGCATGCCGCCCAGGTGTACGGTGGTGTTGCCCTGCGTCACGCTCCACGCCGGCAGAGCGAACGTTGGTAGGCCGCCCTCTACTCGCCCTACAATACACCATACAAATATACAAACACATTTCCTATGGCAACACTTCACTTGCGTATTCGTGTTTTTGCAACTTGTAAACTTGACATCAAACTTCATTCCTTAAGGTACTATTCCGTGCATCGCGATCGATCGCGGCCGCGCGCGGCCTACGACTGTCGTCGGTCGCTCGCGACAATAGTCATAGTATGAAAATGTATGGCACAGCTTCCGTAGCCAGCGACAAACGATCGCGGCCGACGACTGTCGTGAGCCGCGCGCGGCAAGCGTGTATAGGCTATGGTGACCGCTTATTATCAGGCGGGCGGATATGCTTGTGTAGGAAGGCCAAAGGGGAAGATCTTCCTCCGAGCTGGGTGATGGTAGCTCGGGGGCCGCGGCCCGACTGATGTTGGTCAGGCATCGCATATATGAAGAGTTAGCCTTCGAATTTCATTTGCGCGATGCAGGCTTCCATACTAATATTGATCGCAGTGCAGGTAACGCCATCTCTTGAGGTAGGTGAATAATGATTTCCTCCATCCGTTGTATATATGTGGGGCATATAGATGTCGCCACCACACTTGTTTACCATATTTCAACGTATATAACAATATTGCACCACTTATTGTGAAGCGATTCTCTCAGAATGTCATACCGGAGGTGCGCACGAGCGACGCATCCCGCGTGCAGTAGGCGAACGTAGCGGCACCCACTACTACCAAAGCGTTGCGAGCGATCGACACCAGCCATAATGTACGACGCACACGAGGGTTCTTCGCGGGAACGTCTTTCAATTTCTATAAAACAAACATTTGCATACCATTTAGAAAAAAAATATGACAGTTGTGAAGTTAGCAGCGAGCTAACTATGCGCATTTGCAGTCAGGTGGACAATCTGGGCTATAGATGTACAGGTTTCTGCGCAGCAAATTGCACTAACTGCACAGCAAATTTGCATCACAACAAAGTAAGATAGAAAAGTTCGAACGTTTCACTAAAGTCCTGAGTTACGATCATTGCCAATATTAAACAGAGTTTGGACGCGAACTACTTAAAAAGAACTATAAAAGAACACTGAAGAACATCTAAGTAATGCCACGGTAATATTATATTACCGTGGTAATGCAGTTCCTTTGTTCGTGTCAAAACTATCGTCAATGAATTGCTGTACGGTTGAATAAACCGCACAATATAATTATTTCACATTTTATATTTTGCAGCATTGCATTTTTACTTTGGTGTGTCGAATCTAGAACGCGACGCACACACATCCCGTACAAACTGATCCGGCTCGAAGGACCAGTTTGTACGGGATGTGTGTACGTACAAGAAAAGAAAATGGATTTTACAGAGATAGGATCGTTTATTGGCACACGAAACTTATTTGACTAATGAAATAGTGTATGGAGTTTATGAGTCGCGGTTGAAACGTAGACTGATGCGTCGCGTTCTAGATTCGACACACCAAAGTAAAAATGCAATGCTGCAAAATATAAAATGTTAAATAATTATATTGTGCGGTTTATTGAACCGTACAATTGCATTACGAGGAAAACAACAATTTCCTTTTTATTGATATGAAAAGTTAAAAATTAAATACGACCCGATATTATAACTGATACTTGAATGTTTAATACATCTATCCAAGATCATATTATTCACAGTTCACAACATTAAGCACATTCATAACTACTTTATTCAACTAGTTTATTTCAGTTTATTTAAAGCGCAAGTCATAAACTGTCTAATCATGACATGAGCCATCAGGAAAGATAAAAGAAATCATTCCTACAAAACGTAGTCTCCAGCTCACAATTGTAGTGTTTACCACCTACTCAATGGTCTCTTCACATTTTATCTATGTTTAACATTAACAAATATTTTCCAGTGTTTACAAGACTGAAGGTAATTGAAATATTTTTGTGCATGAGACCAAATGATGTATTACAGAATTATGCACTTCTAGGCAGGTTAAATGGGAGGAATTCTGTGCAAAATATATACATAAAAGTCTGGGATATCACACATCTATACTCCACTCCTAGTGGTCGCAGCGTAATATTAAATAGCCTTCCTCAATAAATGCACTAACACAAAAATATTTTTTTAAATCATACCATTATTTCCTGAGATTTGCGCGTTCAATCAAAAAATGGTGCATTCGGTACAACGGGCCCTAAACTACGCAACTAAATTTTCATCATTATCAGCCTATTAATGTCCCCACTGCTGTGGGCTGTGCCACGCGGGCCCAAAAATGGGTGGGTGCTTACGACTGCAAATGCAGCCGGGACCAACGGCTTAACGTGCCTTCTGAAGCACGGAGAAGCTCGAGGTAGTAAATTTTTGATCACCCGTCCAATGACCGACCACTGTGAAACTTGCTTAACTTCAACGATCGCACCCGAACGCACTAATTCCTCTACAAAATTTTCACTATCAGTTAAATAATTTTTCATGGAAGGTTTATAATTCTATAAAGAAATTCATTGTGTATAATACAAGCCTGAGAACAAAAACTATAGTCTACACTACAGCTCTACACCGAAGCGTGGGCGGACCACTAGTGTAGCAAAAACTAAAATAAACTATAAATCTGGCTTACTCTAAGTCCCTAATGAAGTAAACAGAGAGTATATTTTGTTTATTTTTGGCTTTTTTGGCAGTAAATAAAAGCGTTATGAGTACGTAAATGAATGTGTGACATTGACCTGTGCAATATTGTATTACTTGAGGTATCTTTATAAATGGACTACAATTACACTTAACGGCATACTGTAATTTTTTTGGTAAACAATTATAATAAGGTTATATAGCTTCAGTTGAAAATAGAAAAAATTGAGAAAACTTAGCCTGTTACCTAAATAATTAATCTTAAGGAGATTTTTTTTCATATTTTGATGCATTTAGGCATATGGTAGAATTATATTTTCTGGGCCTAGGCGATGTCACTTCACACTTTTTTGTTGAAAAGTTCTTTATTATCTAAGTTCTTTTTCTGGCGCTTCGCTGGCCGCTGCTGCGGCACGTTCGCTGCGCTCGCTTAGCTCGAGCGTCATGGTCACAACACAAACCTAATCTTGTGTGAAGTTTCAACTCGTTGGACCAGAAAGTACAGTTTAGCCCACCAAAGCTCACTGAATTCATATGAAACGGCAATATATTCATAAGCTGATTAGCGACAAAGAGATTTTATTTTTTGAGGTGTTTAAGACTTTTAGTTTTTAAAACTATGAATTTTTCATCGTGTACGTACCCTGAGTAGTAGCAGCGCGGTGCAACAGACGGCGGACAGCAGGCAGTCGTTGAGCCGCACGAGGTGCGCGCGCGCGCAGACCTCGCGCAGGTTGTCCCACGCCGAGTCCGCGCTGAAGCTGAGCCCCAGCGCGCCCTTCAGCTGCGACGCCACGATCAGCACCGCCGTCGCCGACGTGAACCCGCTCGTCACCGACGACGATATCAGATCCACCAGAAAACCTGCATCACATCATCACACCCCCGTCCACTCATTAACTGTGTTGGTCACTTTCACAAGACAATAATTGTCCTCTAAAAGTCTAAATGTGCAGCTCCGGATTAAAAACTAATTTTGCAGAAGGTTTACAACCTGGCAAACTTCTTGAGAAAAGTGAATGTTCATTTGGCTGTGGTTTTGCTCAAGAAGTTTGCCGCCTCAGATGATCGCTATTTGCCGCTATAAAGCCGTGTATCCACTAGAGGCAGCCTCGGGTCGAGCGGCTGCCTCACTCCGAGGCTGCGCAAGTGGAGACGCTGCCTCAACCTGAGCCACGCCGCGACGTGAGGCAAATTCGTCGCCGCGAGCTGAGCCATATTTTGTCGGTTTCTGTGCCGTGCTCTTTGAGCACGAAACGCCTCAGACCGAGCCGTGTGTTTAATGGAGACGGTCGCTAAAATTTCGAAAGCTATCGCCACCTTCCAACGTCATGACCAATAGCAAGTGTTCACATCCATATATACTTCTATTGCGGTATAATTCTTTTATCCACCGGCGATGCTCCCTCTTTTGTATAGCTTTTTGTTGCCTCCTCTTTTTCTTAATAATGGTTATTGCTATTATAGCAGCAGCTACTCGACGCGCGTCTGGTGCCATCGCATTTTAGCTAACTGCGCAGTGCGCCGCCAGCGGATCAAGCTGAGGCGACACGCCTCGAGCTGATCCGTAGCCATTGCCTCAGAGCGAGCAGCCTCAAACTGAGGCTATTTGCTTCAAGTCGAGGCCGCTCGACGCGAGGCTGCCTCTAGTGGATACGCGGCTTAATAATTACCATCATCATGTTAACGTGCCCAAGCCCTTAATTATATCACGCTAAAAACCGCGATTTTTTTAAATAATCTAATCTAAATAATCTTATAAGTAGAAAGAGTGAAAAAAAAATCACAGCAGTAAATTAATACTAACATTATCAATGACAAGTACATCAGGGTGCGGATTCGAGACCGCCTGCTGCCTGGTCCGCGTGGACTTTTTCCAGTATTTTTTTTCTTTAGATTTAGACATCTAGCAGTTTAATGCTTAAAAAGTAAAAACATAAGTATAAACTCACCAAGTCTGAGCAAGCCCATGAGCAGCACGATGGCGCCGGCGACGAAGGTGAGCAGCACGACGTACTGCAGCGGCAGACCGCGGCAGGCCTGCAGCGTCAGCAGCGCCATCAGGCTGGTGGGCCCGATGGACACCTCCTTCACGGTGCCCAGCACGCTGTAGATTAAAGCGCCTACCACCCACAAGGTACAATCACATAAATATCAATAACTTCTATTCCTGTTTCAGACTTTCATCTGGGTATATTAAGCGTGGGAAGTACGGTCTCCAGATTTGCTTCACAATTTTTCTTAGAAATAGACGCAAAGTAGTTGATAATGACGGGATAAAGTAAATGGAGTTCTATTTAGTGCGTCAGTTTGATTATCAAAAAACATGTCCATTGTTTTTTATTTTTAACACACACAGATAAAAATTTTCAAATAATTTTATATAGAAATTCAGTCTTGCTACAAGTGTTTATTAAATAATTTACTTTGCTAGTTTGAACCCAAAATAACGCCTTTGTTAGTAGGCCCCTGGTCCCATCAACATGTCCCCCTGGTGGGCCCACGGGATTTTTTGTTGACCCATTGTATTACGTTGTACCTACGTGTTTACGAACCGCTACATGAGAAATGTCAAAACCGCTTTAGAATAGAGTTGCGTAGAATGTATCGTCATAAAGGAGAGCCAGGAGGAGGGCATAGGCTAAGTTAAGAATAACAACAAAATATAGCTTAAATGTGGTGAAATAAAACATTATATTTATGATGACAGACCGTAATGGTACTGCTGTAAGTGTTTCAGTAGTACCATCAATGGTACATTTGATGTAAAGGGGTTTATGAAGTCATGGGAACACGCTTTATAGCAAATCAAATAAATCCTTTATTTCTGGAGTTCTTTGAACTTCTTTTATTACAGTGTTATGCTATGTAGCTGTTTTATAAAATTAGCTTTATTTTAGTCATGTTGAAAATACGACAGTGAATATGCTTATTACGTTTTCAAGCATAAACGGTTCAATTATATATGACAAATTTTGGTATAAAGATAGACGGGGCCGTGGCGGAACTTATAAGCTACTGTTCTCTCAAAAATATATTTTCAAGGTGGCGAAAGTTTTTGTATATTGGGTATATGGGAAATCAATTATTCCATGCAGACGCAGTCGCGGGCACCTGCTAGTCCTTTGCAAGTTGTTATTTCTCCAGATAAGAGCTTCAATTTGAGCGAGAATATCTACAGTCTTATAATTTCTTTTAATTAACATTTTTATCATACTTACCGATAAATTTTATTTCAGATTTCAATATTCATAGTACAATCAGAAACATCGTAACACTTCAAAATTAACATTATTGAGGCGTGTAAAATAGCGTTATGCGTCGATGACACGGGGCAAGTTACAAGCTACAAGCCAGTGAGTGTAACGAAGCAGCAGCTTGTAACTCGGCCCGTGTCATCAACGCTTTAGTAGCAGTGCTACGACTGAGTAATTGGATAGATAATGTATATTCTAAGTTTTCCAGGATTTCGAAAAAACCGTGAATCGCATCTTCGATACCTAGACGTACTTCTATCTAGTAAAGGTATGCTGTAGAATGAATGAAGAAAAGCCGACTTGTAGAACACGCACTAGATGTATAGGAGGGCTCATTATCAATGACATAGGTCAGGTCGGTGCAGCAGATGGTCATCATAATTTTATTTATTGTATTTTATTTTAAAATAAAATAAATGTAATCATCATCAGCCTATTAATGTCCTCACTGCTGGGGCACAGACCTTTCCTATGTTTGGGATAGGGAGGTTGGGTCGTGGCCCACCTTGCGCGGCCAGGACCGGATTGATGGGTCCTAACTACTGCAGAATCAGCCGGAACCAACGGCTTAAGGCGCCTTCCGAAGCACGGAGGAGCTCGAGATAATAAATTTTGGTCGCCCATCCAATGGCCGACCACTGCGAAAGTTGCTTAACTTCAAAGATAGCTACTGAATGCGCTAACCACCTCCGCTATCAAGGTCCTGGAGTTGGTATATACGCCACCGCGTCCCCCGCGGCCGTCACGCGGTCGTAGCGCGGCCCACAGTAGACAGTACGCACCCATGAAGGAGGTGTAGAGGCCGACCTGCACGGGCAGCTCCGCGAGCGCGGCGTAGGCGATGCTCTGCGGCACCAGCGTGAGTCCTAACGTGACGCCCGCCACCGCGTCCCCCGCGGCCGTCACGCGGTCGTAGCGCGGCCCACAGTAGACAGTACGCACCCATGAAGGAGGTGTAGAGGCCGACCTGCACGGGCAGCTCCGCGAGCGCGGCGTAGGCGATGCTCTGCGGCACCAGCGTGAGTCCTAACGTGACGCCCGCCACCGCGTCCCCCGCGGCCGTCACGCGGTCGTAGCGCGGCCCACAGTAGACAGTACGCACCCATGAAGGAGGTGTAGAGGCCGACCTGCACGGGCAGCTCCGCGAGCGCGGCGTAGGCGATGCTCTGCGGCACCAGCGTGAGTCCTAACGTGACGCCCGCCACCGCGTCCCCCGCGGCCGTCACGCGGTCGTAGCGCGGCCCACAGTAGACAGTACGCACCCATGAAGGAGGTGTAGAGGCCGACCTGCACGGGCAGCTCCGCGAGCGCGGCGTAGGCGATGCTCTGCGGCACCAGCGTGAGTCCTAACGTGACGCCCGCCACCGCGTCCCCCGCGGCCGTCACGCGGTCGTATCGGCGCGCCCACGCGATGCCCGGCACTCGCCGCTCCAGTCGCCGCAACCACCGCGCCCGCCCGTCCTCATCTTTACCCTCCGCGATCACCATACTTTCCACCATAACGTTCACTTGCTTAAATTGTCCGGAATCAACGCACACTCCCGAAGGAATTTAGTATTGACCGCTGAGAAGGAATGTTTAGGAGGACAAAAGTTTTGAATACGTCCGCCCGAAACTAATACGCGATCCCAACGAATGATGGGAAAACGGCACGTTTTAGGAGGACTAGTTTGTGAAGCAAAAGTTTCGAGTAAACGCCAACATCAACAAACAAACGACCTTAACGTCGACTTTGGTAAAACTTTATAGCGCTAGTGAGACGTTAAAATCAAAAACCAAAACACGATCCCGAAGAAATAAAGTAATATTGACGTTGCTTTTCAGGAGTACCGACTTTTAAGCTGAACGGCGCCGGCGCTGAAATATGATTACCGATCCTCCAGCCAGTCGAAAAGACCGCCGCTATTTCACAACGCGATCTAACTACGAACTTTATAACTAACGGATGTCAGAATCCTATCTCGTGTGTGATTCTAAGATGCGCCCGCGGTGATGCGCTGACGGCGACTGTAGCTCGTTTCAGACCACGCGTTATCACAACCCTAGGAGCAGGCAGTTGGCGAGATAACGCCCGCATATATCTAACATTCATAAAATCTTCTGACGGTGATATAAATAAATAGATGAATTGATTTATCGTAAACAGCCTTATACCTATTATAATAGTAATACTTTTACTTATCAGCAAAATAAGGAAAAGTGGTGAAACGGTAAAACTGAGATTCTTAATAGGAATAAGACTGAAATTGAGATTTGAGATAGAAAGGACGTAAATAATGCAACAATTTCTTAATTCTTATCTGATACAAAATTAACTTGATAAACAATCATCAAAGATTTTAGGCATCTATAGACCTGTGTAGGTTTTATTTAATAGTACACCCACAGAACACAGAAAAAGGTTAGACCGTTTGTACGGAAACTGATGTCGCCGGCTCGGCCCCACTACACTTTCACCTAATAGATAATAGCCAATCAAACGACGTGACATCAAATAATCGAACCAATCGGCGCTCACACCCGAGAGCAACTACGCAATTAGAACCAAGTTTTGACCAAGTTATGAGCTTTTGCTCACACATAACTATGGCGCGCCTGTCCCAGCCACACGGCCCTTCTAACCTCTTTCTGTGTTCTGTGATTATAACTCGATTCAACTAAGAATAGGACCGGCTGGGCGCCATATTTTGACGTCATAGCTGTCAATTCTAACCAAATAGGTAGAGTGAGCAAAAAAAAGTTGCTATTCAATAAAACTTATTAACTAAGATTAAGTGAGAAAAAACATCAGACTTTTTAATAAAATAAATTTACTAAGATAGAGAGAAAGAACAACCGATTTTTAATAATATTTCTTTATTAAGACTGTGTGAAGAAAACATTAATCAGAATCTATCTCTTCAATTTCGCTCATCTCTGCATTACCGCCGGAGAAGTTATCAATAATCACGCAGCTTACATACGAACATGCATCCTTTATGTAAACGAAAGATTTAAATCGAGTTTCTGAACGCAACATAAAGTGACATTTGGTTGACGAATTAGGTTATCAACCATTCACAGCCAAAGCTTAATAAAAGAAAAAAAAATCAACTAATATTAACTATCAACATTTGTTTAAAAATGTTTGGTATTTATTCTAGAATTAGCAAAGTGCCAAAAAAATTGTTCCGAGTTTTTTGTGCAAACCGTACTTTTCAAGCGACAATTGACAGATTGAGGACATTGGCTTTCTAATTCTTATTTGAATCACACTACACACCAAATTGCATGTTTAAAAGCAATTTAATTCACCAGTATCACCTAGATCAATTTAAGTTGAATTTGTAAAGGCATGGCCAGGATCATACCTTTAGCTCATAATTAAACTTTTACTTATTTTTTCTAAAGCAATTCTTTACTTTTCTTTCGTATAAGCTTTTCCTTATATTGAGGGTGGTTTATGTCCTTTTTTTCACTGCAATCCTTTTCATTTCATACTTGGTAAAGAGATTAGCTCATGTCACATTAATACCTGCTTTAATTGATCGCTTTAAAGCTCTATTTGACGGCCGTATTTAAGTTTGATTAATGTTATTGCCATCATTTTTTTTGTTTAAACTATAGAGTAAGACAACATGCAACTTTAAATTATATGAACAACGATATTAAATGCCTCTAGGGCATACACCACGTGTGTTCAAAATGTGCTCTAATCAAGAAGTGCTTGAACACCACTCAAGCAAGTACCATGGCGCAGGTGGTTAACGCGTTCCGCTGCGATCGTTGAAGTTAAGCAACTTTCGCAGTGGTCGGTCATTGGATGGGGGATCAAAAATCTTCTATCTCGAGTTCCTCCGTACTTCGGAAGGCACGTTAAGTCGTTGGTCCCGGTTGCATCTGCAGTCGTTAGCATCCGCTAATCCGCACTGGGCCCGCGTGGTTGGTCATGGCCCAATCTCCCTATTCCATACATAGGGAAGGCCTATGCCCCAGCAGTGGGGACATTAATAGGCGGATGATTTATATTTTATTTCAAATATGTATCCACATTAAATTTGTTTGTATTTTGATTATCATATAGGAAACCGGGCACGAGGATCTCGATGGCTCAAGTGGTTCCGGTGTGGGATCGTGAAAGTTCCTTAACTTCCACGGCCGTAGACCGAAGCCGCTATTTGGTTATTATCAAATCATCTATCCTATGGGATAAGTGACCAAAAATGAATTATCTATTGCTCCTCCGTACTTGGAAAGGCACGTTAAGTTGTTGGTTTAGCTTACGTCCGCAGTTGTTAGCACCCACCAATCCGCACTAGGCCTGTATTGTAAGTCATGATCCAATCTCCCTATGTCATCCAGAAGGATGACATTCTGCAATAAGAGCCTCAGAGCATAACGTTTCAATTTTAACATAAAACTAGCGGCCCGCCCTCGCTTCGTTTCGGTGTAGAGCTGAAGTGTAGACTACAGTTTTTGGTCTCAGGCTTATATTATACACAATGACATTCATCTATGATTCTTCTTATACCTGGGGGCCAATCGCCTAACGGAAATGCTTTGGAAAACGCTAACGCTTACGATTTTATTTTGTTATGTCTAGCCGCCTGAGGTATTCAAATGCCTCGCGCTCTTTCTTTTTCTTTTGCATTGGTAATAACAATATTAAAAAAAAATAGCGTGAGGTATTCGAAAACCTCAGGCGGCTAGAAATAACAATATAAAATCGTAAGCGTTAGCGTTTCCCAAAGCATTTCCGTTAGGCGATTGGCCCCCTGCATGAATAGTCTCAGTCCGATCGGTTTAAAATTGACAGTTTCATACAAACTTTCATTCCCTATTTTATCCTCTTGGGGGTAGAATTGATCAAAATCCTTTCTTAGCAGATGCCTACGTCATAACATCTACCTGCATGCCAAATTTCAGCCCGATCCGTCCAGTGGTTTAGGCTGTGCGTTGATAGATCACCATGTCAGTCAGTCGTCACCTTAGAGTTTTATATATATATATACACAAAATACACAGGGCTGTGTTCCAAACCTACGATCCCATAAAAAATGACAAATTTGACAAAGTTTCGTACAATCTATATATATATATAAATGAGCCTGTGAATGCAATCTTAATCAAACAAAGAATACTGGTGATGACAGCAGATTCTATTACCATCCACGTGGATGCCGGAATCGCTTGATGGTACCAATATTTTGAAAGCTAAGTAAACTCTCAACCTATTTAATCTTTAAGCAGTGCATTCTCCGAAGTACAAAGTTTCAGATTGTTAGAACATAAATAAAAGATTTATTGTTGTAAACTGTAGATTCATTAACGAAAGTAGCTTCATATTTGCCAAACGAATTGTTTCATTAGAATCTTTATATAAATAAATTTGTATGTACGATACTTGATAGAACAAAATGTTTCCTTAGAATATTAACATTAATATAACTGTATGTACACCTGTTTTGACTGTATGTTCGTCACTGATATTCTATACCTTAATTTATAAAAGCCATCTTCAAAAATCTTAATTCATAATGTTAAGTGTGTTAATATATGTTGAAAATTGAACTGAATATTAACAATACATATATCTTGTTCACTGCGGTTATTGATTTTTATTTTATCTCCCTCAAATAACAGTAAAACGGCGCCCTGATTATAGATTAATTAATTTCGAGTCTCATGTAAAAGCCCTGAAATAGTCGGTGGTAACAAAAATTGTTACAGTATCTTATTGGCGTTATTATAAAGCAGTTGTGGATCAGTAAATAGCTTGGTGATCATCACTTATACGTGTCAAAAACAGTTAGCGAAGAGGCTTACAGAGCTGGTCCTAGAAGGACAATGAGTTTAGGAAACTGTAGGACAGCTTATTAAAATAAAAGAATAAAATATTGTCATAATTTTATTGAATTGCATTCATCCACTTTATATAAATATATATAAAACAATAATGTAAATGCAGCACAGTCACCACGGGTTAGCGCCAGCAACTGGCCATGTAACATATAAATATATAACAGTATGATACAGTTCAACAAGTGCATATACTATATTTATGTAAAACATTATTATACAACTCTTTGGATAAGCGCTACTGCTTCCACTAGGCTCAGGTACTTATGCTAAATTTCACAACTTACATATACCAATAAATTACATCACTAACTCTTTATGTACACGATGGTGCGCGGGCGCAGGTGTCTCACCCCCACCCCCCACCCGTCTGTACTTAACTGTATAATCTAGAGACAAGGCCCCTGTTGATGCTTACAGTAACCAATGTCAAGGAATAAACATTATCATTTGGCAATAAATGTGAATGGAAGTTTTGCAAAACAATACAATTCGTCTCAGAAGCTTATCTGCGCAACGACATAATGTTAATTGAATGCAGTGCATGTCATCGATATAGTACAATAAACCTCAATGGGACGAGATAAAAATAACTTTAATTCGTAAACAATTATACTGTACAGTATTATAGTCAACATTATCAGCGGAGTCATATTGCAGAGGAAAATGGACTTTATTCACATTCTGCTAAAGTAGCAGCATGTTCGTCAAAATCGAGGTTAAGATTAAAGTATTGTAGTCAGTATAAAGTGTATAAAAGTGTAGACAAGATAAGGTTGTGTGTGTGAGGGAGAGGGCAAGTGCGTGCGGCTTAGTGGGGGGGGGGGGTTACTTGACCCGCTTCATGATGAGGTCGATCTGCTCGTCCACGCGCTGGCTCGTCCCCCTGTCAGGTACAACGTGCCAGATTATAAACTATTCTTACATGCATAAATTTTTACTGTTTAACTCATCAATGAGTTAGTAAGCAACAATATGTAGCATGGTTCGTCGCATTAATATAATAATTTTACATTCGATATCACTGCAGTTATATAAATAATTCGTTTCAAGTTGAACTAAAATTTTATGAAATTTCTATATTTACTTATGATCTTCGTTTACTATTTTTATGCTCTTATAAGATTTCGCAGGGATTTCCGAGAATCTAGTTTATTTTATCTTATCCTGCTATACAATGACTTAAAATTGTAAATAAATGACACTGAATTAAGACTTAATTGAATTTTGTTCTTTTTTAATTTATGTTTACTACTACGCTTCTCATATCTGATATTTCACTGTAATTGAATCTTTATCATATTTAAATATAGTATTAATAGTTTTCATTATTATAAATAACCTAATGAGTAAAACGATAATAGCATATCCAATATATCAGAACACATTATTATTGATACTATGGCGATGAGAAAAAAAGATACCATATTTCTTTTTTATATATAGGTCTAACAAATGACTCCCACCGATCTGATGTTAGATAGTTGGTGCAGCAGTTTAACCTGTAACACCAGTCGTCCTTACCTTGCTGGCCTGCAATAAGCTTCATCAAGCTTTTTTTGAAAAGTCCCGGCTCATAAGTTGGGGAAAAACCCGAGAGCGGGCAGAGCATTCCATTTCCAGATAGTGCGTAAAAATAAAAGAGTTACCAATTCTTTTCGTTCGCGTTAGAATAGTGGCAACAGCACAGTAACTCGGTGACATAAATCTATGGCAATCGCCAACGTGCGTGGTGCGCTGAAGGAAAGGTGAAGCAGTAAGAACAACTCCTCAGAACACTCATTGTGGGTAGACGATGGAGCTCATTTAATGACGGTACATCATCATAGTAGGGATGATGACTATTTTTTTTTGTTCTTTTATCAGGTAGATTATCAAAAAGTATTGGACACTTATTTTTTCTTTTTTCACATAATATAAACATTGTAGAGATATATTGATTTGAAAAGTCGCATGACGTCACGTTTGAGTACACTTTTAAGCGAATATTCACTAAAAAGTGACGTCTACTCCCAAACTTTGACGCGCTATAACTTTGTCATTTTTTGGTTGATTGCCCAAAGAAAAAATTCGTGTCCATTATTTTATGATCATCTAACTGACGGACAATTTCGTTTACTGTACCCCGTCATCACCCCTGTTGAAGAGGTTCGAGGTGTCATCTTTTCATCGGCAATGGTGCGGGTCGCACGCCACTGTAACCTGTCTTAAGCATCGAGTAAGTGACCTACAGACGGCAGGACAGTATCGTCACCTGTAGACGGCAGGGTCGGGCCCCACGAGACACACGAGCTGCGGCACGTCGTGTGAATGTGCCGCGAGCCTGGCTAGGGCGCTGGTGGCGCGGCACGTTTACCTGTAGACGGCAGGGTCGGGCCCCACGAGACACACGAGCTGCGGCACGTCGTGTGAATGTGCCGCGAGCCTGGCTAGGGCGCTGGTGGCGCGGCACGTTTACCTGTAGACGGCAGGGTCGGGCCCCACGAGACACACGAGCTGCGGCACGTCGTGTGAATGTGCCGCGAGCCTGGCTAGGGCGCTGGTGGCGCGGCACGTTTACCTGTAGACGGCAGGGTCGGGCCCCACGAGACACACGAGCTGCGGCACGTCGTGTGAATGTGCCGCGAGCCTGGCTAGGGCGCTGGTGGCGCGGCACGTTTACCTGTAGACGGCAGGGTCGGGCCCCACGAGACACACGAGCTGCGGCACGTCGTGTGAATGTGCCGCGAGCCTGGCTAGGGCGCTGGTGGCGCGGCACGTTTACCTGTAGACGGCAGGGTCGGGCCCCACGAGACACACGAGCTGCGGCACGTCGTGTGAATGTGCCGCGAGCCTGGCTAGGGCGCTGGTGGCGCGGCACGTTTACCTGTAGACGGCAGGGTCGGGCCCCACGAGACACACGAGCTGCGGCACGTCGTGTGAATGTGCCGCGAGCCTGGCTAGGGCGCTGGTGGCGCGGCACGTTTACCTGTAGACGGCAGGGTCGGGCCCCACGAGACACACGAGCTGCGGCACGTCGTGTGAATGTGCCGCGAGCCTGGCTAGGGCGCTGGTGGCGCGGCACGTTTACCTGTAGACGGCAGGGTCGGGCCCCACGAGACACACGAGCTGCGGCACGTCGTGTGAATGTGCCGCGAGCCTGGCTAGGGCGCTGGTGGCGCGGCACGTTTACCTGTAGACGGCAGGGTCGGGCCCCACGAGACACACGAGCTGCGGCACGTCGTGTGAATGTGCCGCGAGCCTGGCTAGGGCGCTGGTGGCGCGGCACGTTTACCTGTAGACGGCAGGGTCGGGCCCCACGAGACACACGAGCTGCGGCACGTCGTGTGAATGTGCCGCGAGCCTGGCTAGGGCGCTGGTGGCGCGGCACGTTTACCTGTAGACGGCAGGGTCGGGCCCCACGAGACACACGAGCTGCGGCACGTCGTGTGAATGTGCCGCGAGCCTGGCTAGGGCGCTGGTGGCGCGGTAGAGATGCTCCTCGCTGGGCGCGGACTGCAGCAGCTGCAGCAGCGCCATCGCCAGCTCCACGCAAACCTCGTCGAATACCTGGAGACAACACATAGCACCACAGTCCTGCGTTTCGTGTACATCATCATCACGTTAACGTCCCTACTGCTGGGGCACAGGTCTTTCCCTACGGATGGAATTCCACGCGGGCTCAGTACGGATTTGTGGGTGCTGACGACAGCACGTGCAGTCGAAACCAACGACTTTAAACTCCCGCCGAAGCGCGAAAAAGCTCGATATAGTAAATTTTTGAAGTGAAACTTCTTTATCGGCGTTGGAAAAAATTTACCGTCACATTTTTATTCGGTTACGCGTCACGTTTTTTGGTTACGCGCCATCTTTTTTTTAAAAGAGCACTATTTACCTCATCCGAACAATTGCTTCTTCTGTCAACTTTAAAAAAAAAGTATCGACAGCAAATATTCGTGTTTCACACAAGGTAAGGTAAGGTAAGGTAAGGTAAGGTAAGGTAAGGTAAGGTAAGGTAAGGTAAGGTAAGGTAAGGTAAGGTAAGGTAAGGTAAGGTGTAGTTATACCCCTTTAGTGGGTGAGTTTTTGAAAAATCTTAGCGCACGCCTATATATATATTTGTGGAAAGTTGCATGTAGATCATTTTTCGAAAAAAATAAGGCCATAAAGAAGTTTCACTTCTTACGTGTGTACACTAGTACACGCACACATTTTTTTAGTCACCCGTTCAATGACCGACCACCGCGAAAGTTGATTCACTTCAACGATCGCGCCGACCACTTGCACCATCGAGTTTCATGTATACTTTGTAAATGTAGGAAGACCAAAGGGGTAGACTCTTCCTCCGAGCTGGGTGATGGTAGCTCGGGTACCGCGGCCCGACTGATGTTGGTCGGGCATTGTATATATTGAGTGTCTTCCTTCGAATTTCCCTTGCGCGTTGTAGGCTTCCATACTTATTGACCGCAGCGCCGGTTAGCGCCATCTCTTGAAGAAGCGAGCGATGCATGTAAATGTCGCCGTTACACACTACCCCCAAAAAATTTGCGCAACATAAAACAATCGGCAAGTAACTCAACAAGACCTGTTAATTGCCCATGTTTATCGAAAGATGGTTCCCACGAAATAATGAATACTATTCATTATTTTTTCATTAAAACTATAGCGATATTGAAACATGTAATCAATAAATATCACATTCATGATTTTTCCAAACACCATAACCATATTTATTTATATCAGTACACGAATCAAAGTAAAATATTACTAGCAGAACTTTCGGACTATCCTCTGTCGAAGTCTTTCAGTTAAAGTAATGATTCTAAACGGAGATCTTTTAATTTCAGTTTTAAAGAAAATTACTGTTACAAGTTATATATTACAAAACAATATTAAAATTTCCTACTTGTTTTAAACTCTTTATCAAAAGTGTTAAGGCTATTAAATCACATAAAGATACTAGTTAATTAATAACAAGGCATAGATTGTCTCCTATACAATTGAGGAAACAAAAAAGTTAAACCATGTAAATACATCAAAGCTTTCTGTAAACACAGTGACACGGTTACACAAGCGAGACAGTAGCACACAATCAAATATTATAATAAGATTAAACTGACGCCGTGTTTTTCTCACGTTCTTTTACGACACTTGTATTATATTATATACAACTCAACGATTCAATGAACTAAAATACCTTTCGTTCAGAATATTACCTAGATAAAGTAATTTATGTGACGACGATTCATCAACAATGTATGATAACATTATAACAAAGCACTAATTAATTTATTGAACTATGTATCTATTCGAAGATTATAAGGGCAAATTATATAATTAGGCGGTTCACCCACTGCACCGCGCTCCGTCGCGTAGCGCGTGAGTGCAGATTTTAACGTTGTACGCAACTTTCTCAGTTTGTATAGAAAGCCCGCGACCTACAACACGCTGACCGAGCCTCTCGCATGCAAATTCTACCAACTGGGGCGTTGCGCGGGGTATAACACACTCAGCCACGCGGTCCCAAGCGGGTTTATATACCTTAAGGATGTTTTCACGACGGATCTTGAAATGGGTAAAATAATATTTGAAATTTAACAACGCACTATTTAAATACAAATTGACAAAATAATTGGAGCATCCTGAATCTCTTTGGTATTAACCAATTCTATCACCAATTCACCACGGCGGCGGCGGCGATCGAAAGCTTTATTTGGCGCGGGGCTATCGTACAATGTCGCTCCGCACGGTGACGCAATCGCGTCGGGACGCGTTGCGAGGGGCGATCCGCCTTAGCGTAAAAATCTAAAGAAAATTTTACTAGAAAAAAATCCGCTCGATCCAGGTATCAGACAGGATCTAGGCTATTATAATACAACTTCATTTCGTACTCCAACTTTTGATTGTAACCACAAAAATTCGAGAAACAGTTCGGGAGCGTGAGCTAACATTATTACATGTGGAATTCTTGAAACCGTTCATGAGTGTTACTTAGCATAATGTAAGAAAGCAATAAACTCTTATCTGAACTATTATTAAACCGGTTATAATGTATTGATCAAGCAGTTAAAATATGCATATTAATTGCAAGTATCGTATTCGCCATGCGTCTTCGAGGACGTTGCAACATGAAACCAAGCATCTAATAATACAAAAGCTTTTGACACGATGTTTAATATCACATTTATATGTATAAATCGTATCCATCCTTCGCGTGGAGCTTTCTATGATCGAAGATGGCTCAAGGAGGCCGTGTGAAAGTTTTTGGCTTTCAGAATGTGTTAATCAGCATCTTATTTCGCCAAGTCGAGATACGTCGCTGAAACATGAAAGCCGACGCTTTATTGTGGGGTGATTTATTATATCTAATTTTTCTATGATCGCAAAATCAAGCTTTCGCGGTGAGCCATTTTGTAACTAACAACAAAAATAACATAATTGGAGCCCCGATTTTATGTCAGGAATTACAAACAATTTGACAAATATGACTTAAAAAAAATGTAGTAAGCAAATTAGTGTTGTTTCATAATATAACTATCGTTGAATTATGACACGGAAAATTGACAACTGTAATAAAATGCCTATCATTTTTATGACATTATATGTCGACTTGGTGAAATAAGGTGTAGATTTGACATGATGTGGACGCACCTTGGACTTGGCGTGTTTTGGCAGCCGGTGACGCAACTCACGCGCTGCCGATAACCGCTGCAACAACAACGCTCTGCAGCCAACTGACCCACAACGAAACGACCCTTGCTAACCTTACTTTTATACTTAAATCTGCTGTTTACCCTATTACCTGACTAGTATATATTTTTTTATAAAAGATTAAAGCTCGGAAACTCAAAATATGCCTATTCAGAATAGACTACGCACTCGTTCTATTCGCTTTCCCGAACATACTACGTTCTTATATAAACATATATATGTACATATATATATGTTCTTTAAAAAATCAATACACATATGGATGCCATGTAACCGTCGAGTTGACAGTACTTTGATATATATTTATTATATAATTGAATAAACAGCTGTAACTAGTTTAAAATGCATATTCGTAGATTCGTTAAAACTTTTACAAAAAGCGCATTTATATCTATTTATAATTGATAAAATATAATAAATATATTATTCTACAAGAACAGGATCGATCGTTGTGAAGTTCATGTAGTCTATACATATTATAATATGAAAACTAAGTATATATATAAAATACATGCTATTAGTAAACAAACAAATGGAGGTAGCTAGCAGAGGATTAGAATCTAATGAAAATTTGAAATATAACAAATGATAAGATACAAATTCACGGTTATGAATACTGGTAATATATAAATGCTAATAAATGACACTATAAAAACTTGAGTTAAAACGTCAACACGAGTAATCCTGTACATCATGTTGTGCGCTGTTATCGAATTATAACAATATTTATTTGAGCGGCAGTTTGAAGCACATAATCTTCGCAACGTGCGACTTCATTCATTTACTGTGATATGTATATGTCAACAGTTAACGCTGGTATTTTGAGATTATGGTACAAAATAAAATGGCGAGCAAACCATCCTCCTATAGTAACGAAGACAAGAATTCTTGTGCGATCATAAGTCAACCAGGAGTCAAGGCCACAACAGGAATCTATAATATTTTTTACATCTACGTCATACTTAAGGGTACTGTCGCTCTCGAATTAATTTACGAACATACGTGGTTTTGAACTTACTAAAAAGAATTAGATAGATGGTATTAATCATACAGAGTGACATAAAAACTTGACCTATTCCTTGAAAGGGTATTAGAGGTCATTAGCAACAAATTAAGTCTAGTGAACTAGGGGTAAAAACTGAATGGTTACCGAGATGTGACGGTACTTTGATGTTTTAAAAAAAATCTAACTTGCTGCCAAAAACCAGTAATTGTGAGTAACCTACTCCACTGTGAACATTTTTTAGGATTTGATTCCCTCGAGAGTTTCGAAAATTAACGGCATAAACGGCTGCATCTTCTGATTGCGTTGGCTTAGAAGTTTCATTTTTTTACAGCTCCAAGATGCAGAAAACCTGGTCATTTGATGTAAATTTCTGCTTGGTCTTGACAGACGAACGGACGTACAATAAAGTCATCCTGACGGTTTCGTATTTTTTCTTTCGAGCTACGGAACCCTTAAAATAGCAATTATATATATTAACTACTACCTCCTCGCCGTCTCAGAACACCATAAGAGTTTAAAAGAAAGCACCGGAAGTATACTAAGTAATTATTCAGAAAGTTTTCGGTAGGTAGTAAGTATAATGTTACAATGACTATGACTACAAAATGTTACCTCGGAATACTCGGCGTAATGTTATCGCATTGAGGCATGAAAATAAGAAGGAATATTCAAATTTTCTTAGAAATTTATAATCATAAAGTAACTATTATTTCTATGAAATATAAGAGACCACTGGTTGTCAACATGTCTGACTGCTGTCACTGTCGCCGAAGATGCCATAAAAGCAAATGTTTGTGTTTCAAATTAAAAATCACATAAATATTTACTGTTTATCACACCTTTCACGTTTACAGACATCCGACAAAGTTTAACTAACATAATTTAATATATGCGTTCATTTAAAGTTGTAAAGAAAAGATAAGACAAAGAAGCTATGGTTACGAGATACAATAAACATCGATTATAACTAGACTATGATTGCGTTTCAAAAAAATTCAAATTTTAGTGGAAACTTAGGAATTCAAAGTTCATATTGGCATAATTTTTTGCTATTTGTCATAAACATTTTAATCTGGTACGATGATGCGTTCTTCGTGTTCGTAAATTTTTGCAATTGCAATAATGAAATTTCGCTAAAATAGATACTAATTCAATATGAATAATCGATCGGATTAGGTCCTGCTACTTCCATAAGTATGATTTTTTTATAAATAATTATTTGTAGTCCAAAAAGCACCGAAGTATATCAGGCTGCTTCAATAATTTTTGCTGTGAAGAGTAGCAAGGCTATTCCAACAAATGCATTACACGAATTGAATTCCGAAACACTCTTGAAAAAGAAACTCGTAAGTCAGTCGGAAATCAGTGTTAACATATAATACTGTTCAATTTAAACTAGCTTCATCCCATTGAAAAATGACAAAACGTCACTGTCAATTTTTGTCAAAAAGACACACAGAGCTAGTTGATGCATGTTTTTATTTATTATAATTATTTCAATTTATTACTTTGTCATTACCATGACAATGTCGCTGTGATAAGTCATTGTCACTATAAACTTTGCGGTGAAAATAAATGATTTATTATTATATGATTATGAGTTGAAGAGATTGAGGATGCGATACAGACCACGGTCTTTACCTCCTTGGTGGCGATGTTGTACATGAGCGCGGTGCCCAGGTCGCGCAACTCCGGGTCTTCTGACAGGCAGCTGTGGACGCACACCTGCACCAAAACGATTCAATTCTATTTATTTGCATACCGAGTACAAATAATGGTGTTATATTTCATCTAAATTGTATCTTAACCTATTTAGTCATAAGAAGATAACATGCAATTTTTTCTATTCAATAGGGAAGATGCAATATTTTTATTTTTGTTTTCATTTTAAAGAATTCCATGTAGGATAAACCACAGATAGATTAAAAAATTAAAACATTGTAATTTATCGGAAAAATGAGGTTTTAAGTTGACAGTTTAAATTTTCGCGCGAAAACGGACCTATGGTTCAGATGACGTCACTCCTGTCTGTCACTGGTCTTGTTCGTCGCTGGCTTTCATACTTTTGCATATTTTGTCGATTTTTTTTGTAAAAATTTAAAATGGACTATCCATCAACACCAGGTGAGCATAACAATACCACTATATTCTGAAAAAAAAGCCGTGTTGACTCATGTTTTGTGCCAATGTGTCCATCTGCTTCAACAAAGTTTCGAAATAAATTGTTTTTGACCTTTGATTGAATTAATTTAATTGACCCAAAACTGGGGAAAAAAGTGGTTTCAAGCTGCGAAGAGAAATGACAATTATTCTCCAAAGACCATTATTTGATGCTGTGAAGATCACTTTGACGTTAGTTCGCAAATATACTTGTTTTATGCTTAATTAATCTGCTTGTACGTAAAAACGCGTTAGTAACCTACCTAAAAAACCTGTCTATAACATATTTTTAATTTTACAGTTGGAGAATGACGTCGAAAATTGGATAAAGTTTAAAATGTGTGGCACAATTTGACATTGGTAGGATTGAACCAAGCTTTGCGTTTCATTTAAAATAACTGTAACATGATAACCTTCTTTACATACTTTATGCTCTGGAGTAACTCGACTGTTTACTGTACATAATTCTCCATCTTTTTTAATTTGGACATAGCCAATTGCGTTATCGCCGTAAGATTCTCTTGTTGAGCTGAAATAACTGCTATGTGTAGAAGTCGCTGAATAAAATACAAAGTTTAACAACTATGATTTATACATACCATAGTAATTTAGTCCCTTTCATTTCTACACTTGAAAACTCTGCACTTTGGACAAAAAAGTTACAACCACGTCAACACTAACTCTTGGTAAATTCCTGGAGTCTGCTTTGATAAACCCAACTTCCATTTTTATTAAAAAACGCAATTAATATTCCCATAAAATAATATTCACTTTTACAACCATAACCTCAAATAAGTTGTCATAACAGGAGTGACGTCACTAAACGCTGATTGGTGTTTAAAATTCGTTTTTTTCAAGTCATTTTTAATTCGTAATTCTTGTTAAAAAAACAACATTATGTAAAATACAAACGTTGCAGTGGCCTTTCTTTTATATTTATGTAACATTTTAATCATAAAATTTTCATAAATATTATATTTGCATCTTCCCTATATAAATAAATGTCAATAATTCTTATTATATTATTTTTATTCAATGTTGTGAATTTATTCATACGTGAATGTCGAAATTATAATGAGTACGATTAGTTGCTATAGGCGGAAGAATATTGACTTTATTTCTTTGACTCTACGCGTAATTCTGAATGCGCTGTTAGCAATATATGAGGTACGAACTGCGAGGAAAAGAGACGGCTATATAACGCACGACACTACGTATTATAAATATGATTTTAGTATTTTTTCATGGAGCTCTGCGGCATGTTGACTTTTCAACGGTTCGTACGTGAATGTGAACCAAGAAGTGCTCGAGTGACGTTCAAGCACTTCTTGATTGGGACATATTTTGAGCGCACGTGGTGCATCTTGGGTTTATAATATCGTTACATGTATATTATCGCAATACCTTGGTGGTGGCTCGTATGTTGGACAGCGTCTGCCCGTTGGCCTCCCACTCGCTGATGTACAGCAGCCATTCCGATGACGACACGTTCTCGAACAAATTGCACAGCTGCAACAATACCACACCATCGTGTCCGATTAACCGATGCTTTTACACACCATACTTTACTCGATTGGGTACTTAATTTACTAAAGTATTACAAGCTATTGAGCTTGTTTTGTTTAAAAATATTTTTATTTGATAACATCATTATAACAAAAACAAATTTAGCGCTTTTAAGCAAAAATTCCATTTTTTTTAATGCTTAATAGGCAAGGCGTTTGACCATAATCTCGTCTGATGGAAAGCGATGATGAGGCCTAGGATGGTACATGTCTGCTTAGAAGATACCTGTTCACTTTGGCCTTGAAGGTGTCCAGATTATATTCATTCGGGAAATAAATCGTTCCAAATTCTATAGATGCAATAAAAGACTGGTTGGTCATTTTAGATTCAACCTAGCAATCAATAAAATATTTTCAAGCGTTTTTACTGGAATGTTATCAGTTTTATAGTTGATGTCTTTGGCAACATATTTGTTGAATTTTTATAGCTCTGCAAAGGGTAATAATATTACGTCGCTTAGAGATTATTGAAAGATTTTCTTAAAACAAAAAAGGGATCTTTAGATACGGTACTTTATGTCGTGTTAACGCTGAACCAATAAATGTTTTTGTTTTACTATGCGGTTTAGTATGCGTCACTCACCACTAACGCCCCGGCGCGTCGTTCGGCCAGCGGCCTGTCCTCCAGTCGATGCGCGTAGGACAGCAGCGCGTGTTGGCGCCGGTCCTGATGCAGCAGCAGCGACACATCCTCGCGCAGTACTATGCGTCACTCACCACTAACGCCCCGGCGCGTCGTTCGGCCAGCGGCCTGTCCTCCAGTCGATGCGCGTAGGACAGCAGCGCGTGTTGGCGCCGGTCCTGATGCAGCAGCAGCGACACATCCTCGCGCAGTACTATGCGTCACTCACCACTAACGCCCCGGCGCGTTGTTCGGCCAGCGGCCTGTCCTCCAGTCGATGCGCGTAGGACAGCAGCGCGTGTTGGCGCCGGTCCTGATGCAGCAGCAGCGACACATCCTCGCGCAGTACTATGCGTCACTCACCACTAACGCCCCGGCGCGTTGTTCGGCCAGCGGCCTGTCCTCCAGTCGATGCGCGTAGGACAGCAGCGCGTGTTGGCGCCGGTCCTGATGCAGCAGCAGCGACACATCCTCGCGCAGTACTATGCGTCACTCACCACTAACGCCCCGGCGCGTCGTTCGGCCAGCGGCCTGTCCTCCAGTCGATGCGCGTAGGACAGCAGCGCGTGTTGGCGCCGGTCCTGATGCAGCAGCAGCGACACATCCTCGCGCAGTACTATGCGTCACTCACCACTAACGCCCCGGCGCGTTGTTCGGCCAGCGGCCTGTCCTCCAGTCGATGCGCGTAGGACAGCAGCGCGTGTTGGCGCCGGTCCTGATGCAGCAGCAGCGACACATCCTCGCGCAGCGCGCAGGCCGCCAGGCAGCGCAGAGTGCTCACGCGCACCTCCTCGCTTAGAGATGAATCGTTCAAAAGGCGACCTACAAAAACGCAACAACGCCACCGTCTTACAAATACGATCATCATTATCATCACAGCCTACTAATATCTGGGGCACAGCACTGCATCAGATGAAGCCTGTAAAGCCTATGGCCATAAGCATAGTCAGTAAAAGATAATCCATGAGGATTTCACACCCGCTCCCCGGCCTGGAAGGAAACAATAAAGAAAAAAAGGGCACAGGCCTTCCCTACGGATGGAGTAGGGAAATTGGGCCGTGACCCCCCCACGCGGGCCCAGTGCGGATTGGTGGGTACTGACGGCACAGATGCAGCCGGGACCGACGGTGTAACGTGCCTTCCGAAGCACGCAGGAACTCGAGATAATAAGTTTTTGGTCACCCATTCAATGACAGACCATTGCGAAAGCTATATTGAAACAAGTAATTAAAATAAAGACGAGAAACAACGAATGTTATATACTACAATTTTAATATAATAAAACAGTATCGTCGTACAATATCTTCACATAACAAAGTATGTATAAATCTAAATATAGCTCTACAATGATTCTAGAATCTTCTAAACACTTCATCATAATTTTCCGAGTCAAGTGTTTCGTTTTAGATTAAATATTACCCCAGATGTTTACAATACAAAAACGATGTAAAACACAATAAATGTGTTTTATATGAGTTGCCAACTATTACTATAAGCCTGCAAAGTCAAAAGCTATACCTAATAGAATAAGGAATCTGAACTACAAACTACGATAAATTATTCGTTCCACACACAATTTAGAAGATTTTCTATTACTCCATAGAAGGGGAAATTTTTTGACCGAATGAAAGCCACTCACTGATGAAGGCCAGGAACTCATCGCCCAGCACCCAGCTGCCCTCGCCGGCCACCAGGTACTGCTGCAGCTCGTCCAGGCTCTGCTTCTCCTCACCGGAGAGCTCCACACCTTCTAACGCTTTGGCCAACCTCTCGTACTCTTGCGCACCCTGTAACCGATACATACTCAAAACTATTTTTCGTTCTTATAATGACAATTCAATGGGGGTGATGACGGGATACAGTAAACGAAATTCTATTTAGTCCGTCAGTTAGATGATCCAAAAATAATGGACACGTATTTTTTCTTTGGGCAATTAACCAAAAAATTACAAAGTTATAGCGCATCAAAGTTTGGAAGTAGGGGCTCGTGACGTCACTTTTTAGTGAATTTTCACTTAAAAGTGTACTCAAACGTGACGTCATGCGACTTTTCAAATTAATATATCTCTGCAATGTTTATGTTATGTGAAAAAAGAAAAAATACGTATCCAATACTTTTTGATAATCTACCTGATAAACAGAGAAAAAAAATAGTCATCATCCCTATTCCCTATTCAGCATTTCTTTACTGAATTATTTTCTTTATAATCAATTTGTCATGAAGTTAACCACAGATTCGCATTAGCATAATAAGATCAAAATTTCCAAATAACTTTGTTTTGATTGAAATTACTAACAGTTTAATTAACAGCAGTAAATAACAGGCTTCATAAACCAATATTTTTCAAATCAAATGTTCTAAATCATAAAAAAATGTCATGATTTACAAAATAATATTAATTTACGAAATCGGTTTGTTATAAAGTATTCATGAATAACATTTATCAAATGGGTAATGTGACCGCACAAATCGCCCATCGCTTGTAAATAGCACGCTGCCCTACTGACTTGGAAATAAATATCCGGGGCGAACAACTCTCGGGACACGGGGCAGCCATGAACGCGTCGCATTCCGCACATGTAAATACTTACGGCGAGCGTTCTGTTTGAAAACGTCACAGGTTTCAGTTCACTGCATCTTAACGTGACCTAAATGTAAAAGTTTGTATAATGCTACTCTGTTTGTATTGTATTTGGTTTAAATTTTGCACAGGAATAAATTTTTGACCGACTTTTTTATTAAATGAAACTTTATAAAAAAAAAATAAGACGCATTTTATACCCCTTTAAACGTATTTACTTAATGAGTGATGTGCGTGGAGACTAAAGAGCGGACGCGAAACTATTGCTGTCGCGCATTAGTAAATACCGTGCGATAAGGACAATAATAGTTAGCTACCTAACGCTGAAAAATGCGTGTAAAAATTGCAAAATCCGAGGTTTGGCTCTCGACCAATTCCTTCTCGAAAATTATGAATATGTAAAAGAAATTTTACCCTTAGAATAATAACTAGTTATACTAGTCCTCTATGTTTTTTTTTTGTAAATGCTTATTGAATCTTCACAGTTTCACACTAGACGTCATTAGTGGTGGTTAAAGTTTGTTTATTCTTGGCATTTTTGAGATCTTCTAGTTTCTTTAATTTTTATTTAATTTTGTTTAATTTTGAATGATGTTTTATAAAATGAAGCGGACACTTTTTGTAATTTCACTGACTTATTATTTATTTGATGAATTTAAATTGATTGTTATTGATATTGAAAAATGGTTTCACAGTGTTGATTAATATGTATTACGTTTAATTATGTAGTGTAAAATATTTGCATGCTATTTAAGATGGCTGAATGGGCCGAACTTCAAAATTTGTAAGATCCCCAGTGTACCCTATTCAAATGCAAATAAACAAATTCTAATTTAAAACACAAGTTATCGAAAAAAGGAAGACATAGGTGCATAGAATGAGCAAAATTATATTTTATGTATGAAAATCAATTCTGTCGTATGGAAAAAACATTGCCCGCCTTAAGAAACAAATAGGATTTTTTTATGGTAAAAGGGTGGCAAACGAGCGCTTGACCCGCGCTGGAAGCGGCCACCATAGCTTATAGGCTGTATAGACGCTTGCGATACCAAACATAATTTATAACAGCATTGTTGCCTACCCTGACACCACCCTCTACCCCGTAGGGCCCTGGAACCTTCAAAAGACAGAGTCACTTTACTGGCATTCTGTAAGGTGGATCCAGACGGGCGCTCCAATTATAAATAAATATTTCTAACACTGACACCAATTAGCCCAAAGTAAGCACTGTAAGGCTTGTGTTATGGGATACTAGGGTAACGGATAGAATACATAATACTGTACATATATAAGTATATTTATAGAGAAATAAATATTTTACATCCATGACTGGAGTACAAATGCTCGTACTCATCACACAAACATTTGCCCCCACCGGGATTCGAAACCGGGACCTCTCGAGTCGGCGACACCATGAAACTCGGCGTACAAACCACTCGGCCACTGAGGTCGTCAATTCGAACAGCAATATCGATTGTCCCTATCCTACCTTAAGATTATTGCACACTTTTTAGCTCAGAAAACATAGTTACTGTGATTGTGGATTCTCGAACAACGAAGGTTAAGATGAGAACGAAGACTACATATATATAGTGGGAAATTATCATTTATGAGAAACATGGCTTCAAAATGTAAAAACTATTTCAATTTGATTCGTTTATTTCACAACTACGCCGAAAGTGTGGTGTATACATGTTTATAATTAGTCTGTAGAAGGCGTGTGCGGTGAGTTGCGCGGACGCTTTCTGGAAGAAACCAAGCGTGTGAGTCAGCCATCACACGCGTGTGACGACGCGCTTGCAAATAACCGATGCATAATAACAACACACAAATAAAACCCACTTGGAATCTAATAGCAACCATGCTGACAAATAAAATTATAATTAACTGTGACATTCAGAGTGTTAGCTACGAACGACTATAAACAAGCAAATATTGGCTGCCATGACAATTATTACTCGTCACAATGCCGATGCACAATAGACTGACTTCTGTAGACACCATAGCCATCTAATAGGGATGATGACTATTTTTTTGCTTCGTTTATCAGGTAGATTATCAAAAAGTATTGGACACGTATTTTTTCTTTTTTCACATTATATAAACATTGCAGAGATATATTGATTTGAAAAGTCGCATGACGTCACGTTTGAGTACACTTTTAAGCGAATATTCACTAAAAAGTGACGTCACGAGCCCCTACTCCCAAAGTTTGACGCGCTATAACTTTGTCATTTTTTGGTTGATTGCCCAAAGAAAAAATACGTGTCCATTATTTTTTGATTATCTAACTGACGGACTAAATAGAATTTCGTTTACTGTACCCGTCATCACCCCTATTCCAAATCACCAAGATGAATATTAAAACACTCATTTTTGGTACATTATAGACAATGTTATGCGAGTGTATGTAAGTACCTATTTACTACAACTACCCAGAACTGAAATCGGGTAACTAACCCGGAATTGTTTTTCCGAAAGAACACGTTCCAAATCTGTCTCAGATAAAGAACTGGTTTAATTAATAACAAATTGTTAATTTTTTCCATCATTGACCTCTATAAATACGTATTTGTTGGTATTGAATGCCAATACTCTGGAGTGACTACACTGTCATGCGAGACCTAACCAGGGAAGAACTTTGTTTCTTCCTACTATGGAATCCGATGGAAGGGTAGTCTTAACATATGTCTTTTAAAAGAGCATTGATTTAATTTTAATTATAATCAGCAGGTTTCCGTAGCCTTCACGTAGTATTATCATCATTACTATCATCAATTAACCTTATTTTATACTATGACATTTGGCTGTGAATAATATGTCATTTTACGTCATCATATGCACATGAAAAGCGTTATTTACAATCTAAGATAGGCCAAGATCACAGTACAGCCATCAGTATTTTACTGCTATTTATTCAAGGCAGAGTAATAATAAATTAAAACAGATGTAAACAAAATACCTAATAGAAGATAAGGTATCTAGAATATAGATAAATGAATAAATAAACTATAGAAAACTAGATCATTGTTTATTGTTATTGGAAAACATCCAAAATAACAAAAGAAATATGTAAAATTATTATTTATTAAACAAACTGTAAAATCGATATCCACAAAATACAGTTGCCGTTGTGACACTATACTAACAACTTTAAACACGCAAAGTTGATGATGGAAAAGTAAGGGAGGAATTCTTGATTCGGAACCTCAAGCTGGACTGTATAGGTAAAAAAAATGTCAGTGAGCTGCAGGTATATAGCAAATTAATGATTACCTAAATATTTTGTATTTTGGTTAAGAACTATATCTATATATTGATAGCCATTTTATAAAATAGCTCGAGCTATAAAATCAGTAGGTATACTTTATGACGCGACGTAGATGCAAGATAAGAATATATAGATGATGGGCGGTTTGCGGATTGACCGGCTTCACCAGGAATTAGGACCTTGAATCCTTAGCTGTAGAGAAAAAACGTAACGAGGACATTCATCGATAGATTTTACTCCTCATATTTTTCTCATACCGGGCCCCTTATATATGCAAATCGATTCTTAAGGAGTAAACTCCAAAAGATATGATAACAATGAGCGGTGTACTGACATCAATGTTCTTAAAAACGATGGGCGGTTTGCGGAGCTGATGCTGGTGAGTTCAGCTCCAGTAGGAATGTATGACCTGGAACTTCAAGCTGCAGAGGTAGATTGGTACATGTACTCAAATCGATGTTTTTGAAGACGATGAGCTCTGGCAGGGATTAGGACCAGCTCCAGCAGGAATTAGAACTTTAGACCTTTAGCTACAGAGGAGAAAGTAGAAAGCAATGAGCTGTTTTTCCACATCGATGTCCTTGAAGACGATGAGTGGTAAAGGGATGCACGCATAGCTCGACCAGGGCCCGATTTTAGTAAGTTGATATAAGTCACCGACAAATGTTATAAAAATGGCAGGCAATTGTCAGTATCTTAATTCAACGGCAATTGTGTCTTGCAACGAGGGTATTTTTAAAGTCGACATAAACGAGCAAATTATCAGTAATTCTTGACATGAAATCGGGGCTGTGTAAGATTTACGTCACAATTATTGTAGTGCTGTCTTTGTTAGTTACAAAATGCTCCAGGAGGAACTACGATCTATTATAATAACCTTTAGCTGAGCAGATAGCAATGAGCGGTGTACTTACATCGATGTCTTTGAAGACGATGGGCAGTTCGCGGGGCTTGGCACGCCGCTAGATCAACTCCAGCAGGAATAAGGACCTTGGACCTGTTGCTGTAGAGGACAGAGAAGATAGCATTGGGCAGTGTCAGGTAGATAGGTAGGTGTACTCACGTCGATGTCTTTGAAGACGATGGGCGGTTCGCGGGGCTTGGCACGCGGCTCGTCGAGGTCGAGCAGGTCCGCGGCGGCGGCGGCGGCAGAGGAGGGCCCGGCGCGCGACACCTCCTCCTCGCGGGGCAGCGCCTCCACGGCTTCCGCCATGCCTCCCACTGCTGACCACACAGGAATAACACGCATACATTAACGCCATCCATTGATAAACACATTATCTCTTATCTATTAGACAAGTCCGTCCGTCCGTCCGTCCGTCCGTCTGTGGTGCTGTTTCAGCGGCCAAACCGTAAGAGATAGATAAAGAGAATGTTTAAGTTATAAGTTAAGAATAGTCTGATAAGACTACAAACCGGATTTGAGTAACGTAGCACTTCCGGTTTTCGAGAAATCACGAATTTCAAACGAAACCACACAAAATCTCCGAAGTTCTCAATTAATTAAATACATTTTTTTTCTTTTAAATTAGGTTTTGGTGAACATTAGGTTCACTGGTTTGCTAGTAACACCATATTATACAATAATGTTGAGGCCTATCGCGAAGAATAGAAGATATTGCGAACGTTGGCCGACACATTCGTTCCTTTGCGAATGTTTATCGCGACAAGAAGAAATCTTCCCGTCCCTGTTGGTAAATTTATGTGCATCGAAGCTCAGTTACTTGTTTTTGCTATTATTATATAGAAAATTATGCTTAACTGATCTACAAAAAAGTTCAAATCGTTCAAGATCTGGGTTAACGACGATTTCTCTCGTGCATTTATTTATAAACATCAATATGTTTGAGTAATAAATTGTCATTGTTGGTTAGATCTGTCATTATTACTTGCGTCATTTCCGCAACTTTTTTTATGATATTGAATATCTAAACTATTGTTATCTCGAATGTCTACGTTCAATAGCACTTTGATGTACGGGTATGTTTATGATCATTATTTATTCCTGCAATAGTGCGAGCGAAAATTTAAGTTAAGGTGACGAATATTTTCAATCCATGACTGTAAAATCTGCTCTTAATGATACAATATGATTGTGCGAGACTCAAGAGGATATTACAAGCTGTTAGGACACGTTCACCAACATGTAAGGGCTTCAGTGAAATTCAGCCGTAAAACATCTGTTGTAGTAAACGTATGAATACCATCAATCACTTTACCTTGCCGGCTTTAACCAAATCTGCAGGGACACAATAGGGAGTAATGCTTCAAAATCTATTATTACCACTTAGTTTAAAATTAGAAGGTATTCTTGTTTATCTAGAGAACAGACACTGTTGCGGATTATTTTGTGGAAAGTTTGTAGTTTGTAAAAAAAATAACAATGTTTGTTCCAGTGCACGCGCAAACGATAAGCATGCAATTTTTCGAGCCAACGGATCAAAAGTATGATTTGTTTTTTTTTATTTTAAGGTCCAAATAATAACATTATATCAAGATCATGTATAGCTGCCTGATACGATTAAAATGTCAATCATTTATTGTATATGGAATGTTAAATTTCGTCAGTAAAAAAAAACTTCATACAATCAGTGATTAACTTATACGATAAACAAGTCATTATACGAGTCACATCTCCAACATTTAGTAAAATCTCAAAGTACAGCTAATAACGATGCGCACCCTAACGACGGAGGATATTACAGTCTCACACTTCCCGCGACTTATTTAAAGAAACGATCCGTTTGATACAATAATAAACTTTAATCGTTACACTGCACCGTTCGCACGATCGAATCGAAGCTTCCACAGCGACCGACAAATTTAAAAACCTGTCGAAGTATGCTACAGAAGTTTACGGTTTTCCGAACTTTCGTATTTTCAACGTATAAAATAGAAGGCGAGCGGTCTGAACCGATGTCTATACCAGTAAGTCGGTCACACGGCGCGGCACCTCTTGCGACAGAGGGATCGGGTTGCAAGCACTGCACTGCACTGCACTGTACTGCCCTGGCGGGAGATTCGCGGTCCGGTGATCACTAGCAGGACGCTGGAGGGTGGGTCGGACCGCGTGGACCGGAGACTCTGATGCTGGGCGGTGGTGGACGGGCGAGGCGGGCGGGGGTCGCGCGAGTTATGCCGCCCGCCCGTCGCGAGCTTGGCGCGCCGCCAGACCGGCTCGAGTTCACGTATTTATAATCTGACACACACTGGACACCACCACTTACATCCTTACAGACCCCTCATCCGCGACACGTAATGACGATCACCCCGTTAAGTGAACGAGAATAGTAGGACATCGCGGTATGTCTGATCGATTGTACCGATATTTGGATTAGATTAGGACCCTAAGTGAGTAATCCGCAGCTTTCAGAAGTACGAAACCTAACAATAAAATGCAGCGCTTCCTAACCTTTCCAATACTGCTACCCCTGTAACCTATTAGGAAAACAGATTTTACCCCGACTTTAAAATGTTATCATCAGTCCAAGAAATTCCAATTAGACCGCTACATCTTCATCTCTAATAATGTCATCATCAGGAGAAAATCTCGCCCGCTTCCCACACTCAGCACCCCGCGGGCTCACTAGCAAGAAAGAGCGCATGCTCTATTTAGTAGTATTATTATATAGTATTTTCTTATTATTTAGATTTGACCTATTTGGTTCTTTGTTACCCCTCGAAGTATAGCTGATTTACCCCCGGAGGGGTAATTACCCCCAGGTTCGGAACTCAGGCTATAATATAATGACATGTTCTATCCGCAAACATGGTCGTCGCAACTTTAAACAGAAGGAATAAAATTGGTGGTGGTTATTCCGCACAAATCTCTGCCACACCTCCTATCTTTGCATCGAGACTAAGGTGAAATGAAATGAAATGAAAAGTCATTTATTCAGTCAAGGCTGTTACAAGCACTTGTGAAGGTCAAGAAGCTACGCCATCGGTTCGCAAAACTACGGCGGGAGACCTTGTACTGAGAAGAACCGGCAAGAAACTCAGCAAGGGCTGCTTTTTTCTCCCTGTATTGATATATACAGAGTCGTCAAGTTGAAAAATGACTTCAGACATACTTCTGAAGTCACCTTCCATTACATTATTTAGGGTATAGATATATAGTTACAACAAATTTTATATTTAGTATATATAGGAAGCGGCATTAGATAGGTACTATACTACTGTTACAAAACTGACTCATACCCATCAAATAAGAAATTACAAGAAACACTATGTCCATGCATTACGCTCATTTAGATAATCATTAACTTTATAATAGCCCTTATTCATAAGAGAATTCTTAATCTGAGATTTAAATTTGGTTAGTGGAAGCTCAATCAGATCTTGGGGAACTTTGTTAAACAATGCAATACTACATCCCAGAAATGAACCTGTGAAATGAAATGGTGTAGTAGGAAATCAATATACATGCTCTCCGAGGGGCCACAGTGGTAAACGTAGGTTTCATAGACATAAAGATTTATAAGAACCTTTCCAGAAGGATAAATTTGTAGCTGTTGTAAGTCGAATGCTACAACTCTTCAGTGAGCTCTCATATGAAATGCCTCAATAGGGCTGATGACGGGGTACAGTAAATGAAATTCTATTTAGTCCGTCAGTTAGATGATCAAAAAATAATGGACACGTATTTTTTCTTTTGGCAATCAACCAAAAAATTACAAAGTTACAGCGCGTCAAAAATTGGGGGTAGGGGCTCGTGACGTCACTTTTGAGTGAATTTTCACTTATAAGTGTACTCAAACGTGACGTCATGCGACTTTTCAAATCAATATATCTCTGCAATGTTTATATTATGTGAAAAAAAAAAATACGTGTCCAATACTTTTTGATAATCTACCTGATAAACGAAGAAAAAATTATTATCATCCCTATTACCATATTTACTGTATTTGACCAATTTAAATAGAAGGGTAATATTTAGAAGGTAATGTTTAGGACTACGAACAAAATTATGTTAGCGCAATCACTCCTTCTTCCAATTCTCGACTACGCCGATGTCTGTTATCCTGATGCAAATGAAGAGCTACTCAATAAATTAGAACGACTCCAAAATTTAGCCATACGATTTATATTTGGTCTGCGGAAGTATGATCATGTGTCAGCTTATCGCTCTCTACTTCAATGGCTCCCTATTCGTCTTCGCCGAGATTTGCATATGCTTGTCTTCTTATTCAAGATTCTCAAAGATCCAAACTCCCCAGTATACCTGCGTTCCCGATTTAAGATTCTTCCCCCTCCTTCACGCTCTAGGCGACCTTGCATTACTAAGACGCTTGAGCTTCCTAAAAGTAATACCATCTCCTATTTGAATTCCTTTTCTTTTAGGGCTGCACAGCTGTGGAATAAACTTCCGTCCAATATTCAGGAGTGTCCGACCATCTTCTCGTTTAAGTCTAAAGTTAAAGATCATTTTCTCAAACAGAAATCTCAAACTTAATGAATCATTCTCACGAAGTATCTTGTTTCTTATTAGTATTTATTTATCAGGTTTATATGTATGTTATGTATATTTGGATAGGTATTGTATTTATCTATGTATATTTATGCAAGTTTATTTATGTAGGTGTATGTATCTGTATATGGAATGTGTATCGTATATATATATATAACTATTATTTATTAAGTCTATTTCCTATAACAGTAGTAATAAATTATTTTTAGTTTAATTTTTATTGCACTTTCTTTTTCCCGCTAAGTTGTGAATCTCCGACACCACCTAGGTTGGCTGGAAGAGATCTCTTTTAGAGATAAGCCCACCTTTGCTTACTATGTATTTTACTATATGTTTTAACTATATGATGCAATAAAGAGTATAAAGAAACAAAAATTGAGCACTGCGGATTGACTGCAAATAAAGAAAATCCAATCAGTTACTGGGCCTTCGGTTCTTACGTGCAAAAAAAATACTCTATTGCTACAAATTTGTAGTTAAAGTTAAATTTATTTGGCAAGTAATTTCGTTTTCGAGGGGTAACAGATAGATGCGTTACTGGCAGAAATCGGTCGCGCTTTTTTTAGGGCGCGACCTGCGCCTACGCGAAAGCGGTCAAAAACTTCCATCCAGTGTGCCCAGGTTCATCGCACCGCCGAGTGGTAGGAAAATGGACGTGCTCCAATCATGCCATGCGGTCTAACGTTAGTTTGTAGTAATAGTTTACTGTTTATTAAAAAAAAAATGGGTGCGTGTACTTATGTAGGCGCGTGAG